GAAGAAGGGAGGGAGAGAGAGAGCGAATGAACCGGCAATAACAAGTTTTAATGATCAATAAAAAGGATTCATTGATAGTGATGGCGATGGCGATTATCATTATAATCATACATTGACTGCATGTACACCTGCAGATTGATATGTTCTACATTTACCATTTCAAATATTAATTGATGTGGCATAGATGATGATAAAATAATGTCTAGCCGGTGTTTAAAGTTTTTTTTTTTTTTTTTTTTTTTTATGAAAAAAAAATTAAAAAAAAAAAAAATTTCATATCACAGCCTTGCTTTTTTTTGTATTTTTTNACACCTGCAGATTGATATGTTCTACATTTACCATTTCAAATATTAATTGATGTGGCATAGATGATGATAAAATAATTTCTAGCCGGTGTTTAAAGTTTTTTTTTTTTTTTTTTTTTTTTGATGAAAATAAAATTAAGAAAATCAAGAATTTCATATCACAGCATTGCTTTTTTCTGTATGTTTTGGTTCATTGAATTTTTTCGTTGTTTTCCTTGGAAAATGGGAATGGATCCAATGAAAATGAATGGATGAATGGATGGATTGAATGCCAATGCCATGGCCAGTATATATTGATAATTCATATATGTTTTAAGCAACAAAAACCTTGATTAGTTTTTCTTTTTGCATTATAAGCATGATTTTCACAATGATCAAATGAGGGAGATTTATGCTAATTTTTTCTTGTCTTTAAATTCTTTAGTTTGGTTTTTTCTTTCGAAGAATGATTCAGCCATGATGACATAATTTTCTATTTATAATGATAATAATTCCATCATTGAGTGATGAAGATGTTCTAAACTGGATTTTTTTTTCATTAAATTCTTCAATTCAATTAACAAAACAAAGTAAAGAAGAAAAGAAAAGAAAAGATTTTCTTGCAAATGAATGGAATGGATGCCAAGAAAAGTTGAAAAGAAATTTTCAATTCGAATCGAATGAATGTTTTGAGAGAATAATGGATTCATTCGAATGGAATTTTTTTCCCGAAAAACTTTCCTTTGTGAAAAGAAAATTTCCCGAAAAAAACGGAAATTTTTGTTTCGATGAACAGAAAAATCTGATCTTAGAAATCTGAAATTGATTCGGTTTTATATGACCTGATTTTTGTTGATGTTGTCGTCGTCGTCGTTTGATTTGAAAACCAAAAAATTTTTCGTTTTCAAACTTATCAAGTCGCGTGCTGGATAATGAAAATGGTCATACGATCCACCAATTATCTGTGTTTGTTTTGATTATCATCATCAATATTTATATTTAATATTTTTTGGTTTTTTTTTTGAAAAAATTTTTCCCAAGAAAAAAAAACATTGATCATTTGATTCGATCGATGAACTTTGATCGAATGATCGAACTATTAGAGGCAACAATATATAGAGGCAACAGCAGCCAAAAAACTGATGGTTTCAGCACGTGAAAACAAACACATAGTCACAATGATCAAAAGATCGACGACACATCATGGACGTCATTGATATTAGACAGAAAAAAATCAAAATCGAAAATTGAAATTGAAATTCCAATGGCCAAATCATAATCATAATATTGATTTGTTTCTGTGCTGACAATAATACGGTTGATAAATCAAGCCAATAATTTTACAAAATGAAATGGAAAAAAAACAAAAAACTCAATGAACAAAAATCATTAGTTTTTTTTTTTTTTTTTTTGGTATAAAAAAGCTGGCAGATCGAACAGAATCAATCAATCAATCAATCAACTTCGAATCCAGAAATTGAATAAAAAAAAATCGAATCTTTTCAAAAAAACATTCGATTTACGCATGTGCATTTTTGTATTCGAATGTTTGTATTCGATTTTTTTTTCAAAAACATTCGACATTCAGCCAACGAAATTAAAAAAAAAATGTCAACCCAAAAACTAATGATTTACAATGACGAAAATCTTCAATCCAGACCAACAACAACAACGGTATGATGATGATGATGATATTTGCCATTGTCGTCGGATACAAGATACAAAATTGTCATCATCATCATCATTGTCATTGAAAACAAAGATGATGATGTAGATGACAAAAAATATCAATGATGCATTTCTTCTGTGATTTTAAAATAGATTTTTTTGTTTGTTTGTTTTCGGTTTTTAACCAAGCCATCAATTTTTATTTTGCATTCATCAAACTATTGCTCTATCAATCAATCAATCAATCAATCAATAATTGCTATCAATCAAATCAAATCAAATTGAATTGAATTCAAATCAAACGAATCGATATCGATATCGAATCAAATTAAAAAAAAGATACATTTGTTTCGATTGATTGATTCGTTTGATTGATCGTTTTGTGTTAAACAAACTGAATGATATCATACGATTATTCAATTTTTAACCCGGGTGTTTAGCTTCTTTTTTCTTGTTAATGTTGTGTTCCCCCTTCTCAAACGATTTTGTCATCCAGTACAAAACTGATCACCATCATCATCATACTGATGATGATGATTGAAGCCAAATCTTCAATACCCTCATCAACAAACCACCATCATCATCATCATCATCATTATGTGTGGGTATGATTTATGATTTGTTTTATCTTGTTGTTCTTTTTCTCTATCTCCATTTCAGTTTTTCGATGTGTAAATGTAGAAAAAGATAGGATTTTTTTTCCTTCTTTTTCATGTTGTTTTTTTATTACAAATTTCGAATGATTATGTGAAAAAAAATGATTGCAATAAGCAAACAAAGTAAAGCAAGAGAAAGAAAAAACTAGTAAAACTGCCAAACCGGCAAATTTACTTATGAATAAGATGATGAGATGAAATAAGATAAAAAATTCAACTCCTTTCATTCCCCCCCACCATCATTACTTTTATTTACTTTTCACACATCACACATCAGACCATACCATGCCGCATCAACATTTCAATCCAGTTTAATTCACTTTGATTCAATTCAATTCTGAATGAATGAATGAATTTTTCTTCTGCTGCTGCTGTAGCTGCTTCTGCCTGCCTGTTTTCTCTTCCATTTACCATTCATTTCATTTCATTCATTCATTTTTTGGATTTGCGCTGCCATTTTAGTATTTATATTTGAACAACGTTCTATGCTCTATTATAAAACATCTTTCAATCGACGCCAAGTCATCTTTTGAATCTTTTCAAGCAAGAATTTCTTCTTCTTTTCTCCATTTCATTTTATTCATCATCTGAATATACACGTGTTTCGTTTACTTCTTCTTCTCTCGTCGTCAATTTTTTAACACTTCAATCGCTGTGCGTTTGAAGATTTTGCCATTTTAGAAAATTTTTTTTTGCTTATTGAATTCACCGGCCCAGAATCAATTCTGAAACTGAACTTTAGTAGTTTTTTTGTTTTGTTTTTGTTGTTCAAAATGCTGAATCCGAATCTTTCAATAACAAACTTATTGATTAATTATTTTAATCAAATATTTATGATTAATAATCATGAAGATAATATCTGTCAATTTTCTGGTATGAACCATCATAATCATCAACGGCAACAATCCCAAATTGATGTCAATTGTCCATTGATTGTTGTTGATTATCATCATATGAAAATTGAAAATCTTTGTTTTGTTGATCATTCCTAAGATATATTTTTTGGTCGAGAGAAATTTTTTCTTGTAAACAAAAAAAGGTATGTTTGAATTTTGCAACAAAAAAAAAATTAACCCCGAAACCGGATATCAGATTTTCTATATTTATCCATATTGTCGATATAAGTCGAAATAGAAATTTTTTTGTTGTTGATAGAATTCGATCGAGGTTAGAGAATTTACATTACTTTTCTGACGAATATTTTTAGTGTTGCTAAATTTAGATTTTGTTTTTCTTCTTTTTCGCTTGTTTGTTTTGATAAGCCTAGTTTTTTTTCTCTGAAAATTTAATTTAAATTTTTGATTTTTTTCACCGAAAAACTCATCATCAAAATCATATTCCGGTTTTTGTTTGTTTGTTTTTCTAACTTGACAATGTAATTGAACTGTCTCTCTGTGTGTTTTGATTGGAATTTTTTTTTAAATCAATTTTATCAATCGCTTATCATCATCATTGCGATATTTTTCCATTTAAAATCTTTGCTTTTTCATTCCCCTGTGTGTTTATGTGTGATAATACAACCATCGTTATGGTTGAGCGAAATGAAATTTGAATTTCGTCCAGCTTTTTTTTGCGACATTTTTTTTTGTCTGCCTTTCCCTTCATTCATCCATCCATCCAATGATAAATGGATTTCATTGAACAATATTTGATCAAGGATATGTTCAATGTATTGGTTATAACCTAAATTTTGTTTGTTTGTTTTTGGTTTGGTTTTTTTTCGCTTCTGTCATCAAACCGATTTTTTGATGACAAAATTTTTCCAGAGAAAGAAAAAATTTGTATCAAAATTTTCTATGGAAAAATTTGTAAAACTTGACGAAATTGATTCGATTTAAGAATCTAGTTCATCAAGTTCGATTGATCGATCGATCGATCGATCATTATCATTTGATGATAATTCAGTTAATCAGAAGCAAAGAAAAAACATTCGATTTTTTTTCTGCCTCTCATTAAAATTTATTGATCATTATCGATTGATTAGTAGTAGCAGTAGTAGTTTTTCATCCATATCATCATATGATTGAAAAACATTTTGTTATCCATTTCCGTAATTTATTATTATTAGAAGATGTTCTTTTTTCCCTCACCGATTATTCCGAATGAAAATCGATCAATTTTGACCCGAAAAAAAGCAAAAAAAAAGATCATTTCATTTGGCAAAATAAGCTGGTGTGGGAAAAAAACCAACAGAAAAAAAATTGATGAGAAATGAAAAAATTCCAATCAATCAATCAATCGATAAGTGATTGACAGATATGGAAAAANAAAATCGATCAATTTTGACCCGAAAAAAAAGCAAAAAAAAAAAAAAATCATTTTTATTACATTTGGAAATGAGCTGGTGTGGGAAAAAAACCAACAAAAAAATTGATGAGAAATGAAAAATTCCAATCAATCAATCAATCGATAAGTGATTGACAGATATGGAAAAACGACGATGAAACAAAAAAAACCGTTATCATCCAATGAATTGAATGTTCAATGTTCATGTTTTTTTTCTCATTTCAAATATTAAACTTGTCCCTGAACTGAAACTTTTTGGTTCCTTTTCTACTTGATTACAGTTATCGAACCGACATCAATGACGTTTTTTTCGTTCTTTCTTTCTTCAATCATTTGATTTTCTAATCATCAATGATAATAATAATGAAATACCTCTAATAAAATAATAATAATAAATTTCTTTTAAAGATTTTTAATCGTTTTAAAGATTTTTATAATTTTGTTTTACACAATGTAATTACAGTGTAAAGCACTTTTAAAAATTGATTACACATTTGATTTAATAATTCTTTAATATTACACACACACATTGATTTACATTGCTGTAACTAATTAGCGATTAGTTGGTGTTAATTAAGTTAAAAAAAAACAACAAATTATCATCATCAACAATAACACAGTGTTGTACGATTCAATTTCAAAGAATGTTTATTATTTATCAATCATCATCATCACTATGTGATTTTTGTGATTTTGATTTTGATTTGATTCTGGAATCCATAACAATCCTAATTACGATGTCGATGTTGAAAAAAAAAAATTTTATGACTTCTCTAATGAGGAAAAAAATCTGATTTTTATGATTTCAAGTCCGGTACCTAAGATACCTGTGTTAACTAAATATGAACGATTAAAAAAGCCAAAGAGAGAGGGAGAGAGAGAAATGGATATTATGAAAATCTGATTTTTCATTTAAATTTAGCTTTGAAAATTTTTCATCGTCACAGTCAATCACTTGTCTTTTCTTATTCATTGTCAATTTTGCATTGCGAAAAATCAAAAATGATTTATTTAAATTGAAAAAATTAAATTTCAGTTTTTTTTTCTCTCTTCCCCGCCAAAAAAAAAACAGATTTTTCTTGGTCAATTTTTCACTTCAAGATTATCAAAAATCATCGTTTTTTTTTCTGAGAAAAATTATCAATTGAAAAATATCATCCCGATTTGATACAACAACAACAACAATGATTATGATCAATGAAAAATATTGGAAAACCAAAATTGAAACAAAATTTCATCGCGTTAAACTTTGACATTTGAACAAACAAACATTTTGTTGAAAAACATATTTTTTTTTGTTTTGAAAACTTTGTTGAAACATTTTTTTGAAAGTCAAAAAACTTTTTACTTTTTTGAATTTGAAATCTTTTTTTTCTGTTTTTGCTCTCCATTCCACAACAACAACGACAAACAATCAAAAAAATCAATTCAAAGCTATCTTCAATCTTTACTTTATCATCATCATCATTATTATTATCGATTATTTATCGATTATCGATCTCAGAATTTTTTTTTATTTTTGTTTTAATCGATTGATTGATTCTATTTTTTGGTTTTTTTTTTTGAAAAACAAAATGTCCAATTAGGAATAATAACAATAATTTTTGTAACTTTTTTTTTGAATTACACACACACACACACAACACACGTTTATATAAGCTCAATTTGAATCAATCAATCAATCGACAGATCGATAATATTGAACTACTGCTGAACAAACGAAACAAATAACTTACCTGTGTATTTTTTCAATTGTGTAACACGGTGCTTTTTTGGTGTTTTTTTATGTTGTACTTTTTTTTCCTGTTTTGCCCACCTTTCAATCAAATCAATCAATTGATTAATCAACGAAAATTCTTCCCCCCTGAAACACTATATTCTTTTGTCATAATCAATCAACTTTTTTCATCATTTTTTTAGGAAAATTTGATTGTTTTTTTTATTATTTAAATTTTATATTTTGTCATTTTTTTTTGAAACGAAATTCATTTAAGCTTTAACACACAAACAAACTGAATACATAGACGAAATTATCATTATCCATAAATCATGTATGTGACAATGCAAAATGTTATGAATTCGGCATTATCGTCGATAACATCAACGACAACAATCGATCCGATTGAATCATTATCAGCAATGGATCAACATGCTACTCTTTGGATATTAATAGTATCATTTATATTGGCATTTTTTCTTGCATTCGGTATCGGTGCTAATGATGTTGCAAATTCATTTGGTACATCAGTTGGTTCAAAAGTTTTAACACAAAAACAAGCTTGTATATTGGCCACAATATTTGAAATAAGCGGTGCTTTATTATTGGGTATGTTTTTTTTTGTTTGCATTCCTTTTCATTATTGTTAATGGGGATTTTTTTTTTGTTCCAAAGGCTATAAAGTATCATCAACCATACGTGTCGGTATGATCTACGTTGACATGTATGATGATACAAAAATATTAATGGCCGGTTATTTAGCTGCTTTATTTGGTTCAGCTTTATGGAATTTGGTTGCAACATTGTTTGGTTTACCTGTTTCCGGTACACATAGTATTGTTGGTTCAATGATTGGTTTTTCAATTGTTGGCCAAGGTTTTGCATCGGTTCGTTGGCAAGAATTAATTCGTATAGGTAATGTGTAGTGTTTAATGTTTAAACTTTTGAAACTGAAAATAAGAATTTTTCATTTTTCCCATATCAGTTGCATCATGGTTCATCAGTCCAATAATGTCCGGATTAATATCAATGTCATTATATTTATTTATACGTTGGTATATTATTAATCGTGAAGAACCATTAAAAAATGGTCTAAAAATGTTACCAGTGTTTTATGGTTTTACAATATTTATTAATATTTTTTCAATTGTTCATAATGGTCCATTGTGTAAGTTTTTCCATATTTTTTAAATCTGATAAATTTTTTTTACTAACAAAATTTTGAATTTTAGTTTTAAAATATATTACCTGGTGGATTGCCTTAATAATGGCATGTGTTGTTGGTACTGTTGTTGGCCTTTTAGTTCGAATATGGATTGTACCACGTTTACGTAATAAAATTCTAGAGATTAAAGCTAATCTTACACATACGGCTATTCAAATAACACATTTAGATCATCATCATCATCATAATCATCAAAAAAATAAAGAAAATCCTGTTGATCTATTGAAATTAACGCCAATTGTTTGTAATAATATCGATAATGGTGATAATATTTGTTCAACTAATATTGCTATAATCAATAATAGTAATAATAATAATAATAATAATAATTCGAATCGTAAACAATCAACAATGGATATTGAAATGTCGAATGAAAAAAATAAAGATTTACAATTGATTGATGTGGATGATGATAAACCTGAAGTGGCAAAAATTTTTACCTTTTTACATATTTTAACTGCTTGTTTTAGTTCATTTGCACATGGTGCTAATGATACCAGGTAAATTGATTGATTTTTTTTTGTTTGATTTGATTTATAATTTATTGAATTTTTTCTTATCATTACATTATGATTCGAAAAAGTAATGCAATCGGTCCATTAGTTGCTGTAATGATGTTATATCAAACCGGTACACAAACCGATGAAAGTCCATGGTATTTATTATTGTTCGGTGGTGTTGGTATGTCTGTTGGTCTTTGGGTTTGGGGACGTCGTGTTATACAAACAATGGGTAAAGATCTGACAAAAATTACACCAAGCACTGGATTTGTTGCTGAAATTGGTGCAGCAAGTACTGTATTGTTAGCATCGAAAATTGGTCTACCGGTTTCAACAACACATTGTCAAGTTGGTTCAGTTGTTTTTGTTGGTAAAGCAATGAATAGCCAAAAAGGTGTTAATTGGAAATTATTCATTAATATTGCAATATCATGGGCATTAACCGTTCCATTAAGTGCATTATTTTCGGCAGCCGCAATGTGGTTATTAAAATTTGTAGTATAAAAATCATCAATCAAGAAGATCAAATTTTCATTCAATCAATCAATCATTCGACGCATCCTATATTATATTTTACATCTGTTTTTTTCCTTTTTTTTTGGTTATTTTATACAAAACACACCACACACACCCCCATCATCATCATCAAAATATAAATTAAAATTATGTGCATTTTTTTTTAAATTAATCAATTCTACCATCCACACAACCAAATGATTTATAAAACGTATCCTATTATTTTGTTAAAAAATTTACTTAAAAATTTTTTTTCCAAATTATCGATTATAATTATTATTATTATTTAAAAAAGAAGAAAATTTACAAAAAAAAATGTTTTACCTGTTCATCATTTACCTGTGTTAGTAAATTAAATTAATTAATTGTAAACATAATTATTTTTTTTTTGTTTTACTTTGCCTCCCCTCATTCCATATCCACCGATTTTCACAAACAAACGCACACTTAATATACTCTTCTCAGGTGTTTAACCCAAAACAGGTAACACAACTCTCTCTCTCTCTCTCTGTGATGGAAAAAAATCTAGTCTCCAAAGAAGAAATGAAAACGATAAAATTTTTTTTAATAAAATCAATAAACTATTTTCATATTTATTTTTCTGTTTGTTTTGTAAAATAAAATTAAGAAATTTTCCCTAATTTAAATAATTCATTTACGAAAAGCATTTCTTCATTGTTGTTGTTGTTGTTGTTGTTTCGCTGAACGATATTTAAAACTGGAATTTAATGAACGTCGTTCCCAAAGGTTACGACGACTTGCAAATGACATTAATGATAATCGTTTTTCATCATCATTATTATCATCAGTAACAAGTTTTTCATTATCATCATTACCCGGATGATTATCTTTATTTACAATTTTATTCCATGCTTTTTTCTTCTTTGTTAATGGTATCGATGTTGACGATGATGATGATGATGATAATATTTCTTTGGATTGTTGTTGTTCGAAATTTTCTTTATTCGAATGATTTTTCTCCTGTCTAGCAGCCATCGATGTTTCCGTTGTCGTCGTCGTCGTCATCATCGTGGATCGATTATATCCGGCTAATCGCTTGGAACGTCTTGGACTTCCAACTTTCGATGTTGTTGTTGTTGGTGTTTTATCTTTTGATTGACGATTTTTTTGTGATCGTTTTTTTACCACTGTTAATCTTAATGATAATTTTGGTGATGTTGATGATGTCGTTGACGGTGATATGGTTGTTGATAATTCTGATACCGATGATGGTGATGAAATATCATCACCAACAATCATTTTATTCAATTGTACACCATCATCGAAATCGTGATCAAAATTTTGTTCAATCGTTGGTGATAAATCGGCAATTGCATTTCGATAAAGAATATCGATATAAGAATCAATCTGTTGTTCATCAATATTATCAATTTGATTCAATTTCAATTTATCAACCATCAACGATGGTGATGGTGATGAATTTTGATGATGATCATCATTCAAAAATTTCAATTCAAATCGATCAATAATGGTTCGTATTTCACGAAAAAATTCTCGTATAATATTTTGATTATTATCATCATAACCATCATTGAAACCATCATCATCAATGTTGGCCATTTTGCCTGTATAATAATCCATAATTAAATCGAAAATAGAAAGCTTTTACTTTGAAATAAGAAAAATGAAATTGAAATTTTTCAATCGTTTTTATAACAAAAATTTTTCAAACAATCATCGGTCAAAAATACAAAAAACAAAAAAAAATTCGAATAACAAGAAAATTACCGCCTCATATTCTATAACGATCCAACCGACATTGGTGAGATAGAAATAGTCAAATTATCACGTGATAGTGTTGTTCGTTGAAAAAAATCATCTGTTGGACAGAAATTGATGATGACATCCAAAATAATAATGATGATGATTAATTGAAAATCTTTTCGATTTCTTTTTTTTTTGTAAAAAAAAATACTACGTGGTTTTTAAAATATATTTTTTTTTCTTCAAATTTTTCACCGTGACAAATTTTCTTCCTTATCCGATTATCATCATCATTTTTATTCGGCAAGCAAACATGTTTGTTTTCAAAGCATCATTTTCGAAATTTTTAAACTAATTTTTTTTCTGATTTTCTAAATAATCTTCCGTCCAATTTCTGAATATCTCCATCATCGATTGTGTGTATATAACCCGCGTAAATAACTTTGCCTTTTGATCTCGTTGATTTGTTTCAAAAAAAAAAAAATTGTCTTCTCCAAAACAACAGAAAATCATTCCATCCGTTTTGTCAATTTTTTTTATTGTCCAAATATTGATGCGCAGTTTCTCCATTGCTTTCCACTGTTTTCAACTTTTTTTTTAAAAAAATCAATTCAACGAGCTAATTCAACAACAAAATGAAAATGATACATAAAAATCATTCACGTTTTACACAACGTTTCAATACATATAATTGTCAACCAGATATTATACGTGCCATTATACGTTGTGATACGAAATATGTACGAAAATTATTACAAATGAATAATGGTGAAATAAATTCCTGGATCGATTATGATGGTCGTACACCATTACATTTAGCCGCTGCATTAGGTCGTGATGAATCATTACGTATATTAATCGATTTTGATTATTATTCAATAAATTGTCGTGATAATAATCTGATTACACCATTACATCGGGCATGTCGTAATAATCATATTGGTTGTGTACGTTTATTATTGGAACATAATGCCGATGTTAATGCACGTACCCGAACACATTTAACACCGTTACATGTTTGTGCACAAATGGGTTCACTTAGCTGTGCACGTTTAATTATCGATCATGTTGCTAATATTGATCAAACTGATTCATCATCAGGTGCTACTGCATTACATTATGCTGTTTATAATTCAAATTTAGCCATAATACAATTATTATTGGAAAATGGTGCAAATATTGATGTACAAGATAAATATGGTTTACGACCAATACATTATTCGGCAATGGTTGATAATCCAGCCGTATTACGTATATTAATCGAACAAGGACAAGCTGATGTTAATGTACGTAGTAAATCATTACTGACACCATTACATATAGCAATTGTAGAAAAGAATTTCGATATATTTAATTCATTATTAAATTATGGTGCAGATATGAATGTAAAAGATTTACATGGAAATACTATTGCACATTGGTCAGCATATATTGGTTATTTACCAATATTTGAATTAATCATAACAAATTCAACCGAAATGATTAATCAACCAAATTTAAATGGTTGTCATCCATTACATTATGCTTGTGTTAATCGTTCGTTTCATAATAATGATGCATATCATATTGTAACAAGGATTATTTCTTTTTATAAAAATGATCATAATGAAGATACGAATTCAACAGAAAAAACATTATCACCAACACCAGCGAATAATTTGGCCAAACATTTAAATGTTGTTGATAAATTCAATTGTACACCATTACATTATGTAGCATGTAATAATATGGAAATGGTTATAACATTATTAGTTATGATGGGTGCTGATTATAATGCTTGTGATTATCGTTTGGAAACACCAATTCATAAAGCAATTCAACAGGTTCAATTGGATAAAGTAAAAGTATTAAGAAAACTTTGTGCCAATATTAATATGCCAAATAAAGATGGCCAAACTGCATTACATATGGCTGCATTTTCAATGTTATCATTGTTTTGTAGATTTTTAACAACCGTTGATGATGAATATAATGGTGATAATGATAATAATAATAATATTTGTAATCCAATGGCATTAGATAATTCTGGTCGTACTGCACATTATATGACTGCATATAGTGGTAGTATGGATTGTTTTTATGAACTTATTGCTTCAGCAACATTCAACGACAAAGATCCAACAACCGAAAAGATAATACTATTTCCACCTGTTGATGCATATAAACGTTCATTATTACATTATGCTTGTGCAAATAATTTTGTTAGTATTGAATTTATACGTACATTATTACTTAAAGATGAATTAGATCAAAGATTTGGTTCATTACAACCAAAATTACTTGAACAATTAAAACAATCATTTTCATCGTTGGATATAAATCAACAAGATATTTATGGCCGTACACCATTACATTATTTATGTCGACAACCGGATCGAAATGAAACAAATATAACTGATATTATAAAATTATTTATTGAATCTGGTGCCAATATTGATATGATTGATAATGAAAATTTTTATCCATTTCATTATGCAATTATAAATGGTTATTCCATTTCATTACAATATTTAATTAATATTGATTGGTTTAAAAATATTGAAATATATCAAAAATTATTTCATTCATCAATTTGTCCATTACGTTTAGCTTGTTATTATGGTCATTTAAATGTATTGAATGAATTACTTAAATTTGGTTTTAATGATTATGATCATGCATTTGAAATTGCAATCAGGCGATCGAATTTAGATTGTGCACAACGTTTATATATATTATGTCGTAATCAGGAAACATTTCAACGAATGTTATTATTTGCTGCCCGAATTGGTGATACAAAAGCATTATATTTATTATTTAATTTAATTAATAATAAATTAATACCAAAAGAAAAATTATTAATGTTAACCGCATTATGTAAACAAGGTTATTCATCATTAAAATTTTTAATATTTAAAAATTTTGATATAAATCTACGTGATAATCGAAAACGTAATGCACTGTTTTATGCAATTATCGGTAGAAATCATCAAACAATAGAATTATTAATAAATTCTGGTATACAATTTGTAAATGATGATCATTGTCGTAATGTATTTCATTTATTGGCACAATATGGTGATTTAGAAACATTTCAATTACTTTGTAATTTATCCAGAACGAATAAATATTTGAATCATTTATTAATGGCAAAAGATTGTAATGGTTATACACCATTAGAAATTGCTTGTTTTGAACAACATCAAAATATATTGGAATATTATTTGAATAATTTTAATCAATCATCATATCGATCATTAATGTTTTTTGCTGGGTAAGTATCTTGCTTAAATTTTTCCAATTGATTAATTGATCGTCTTTCTTTCTCATTGAAATTTCAAGATTCTGTCACAATGTTGAATTTATTCAATATATTTTACGTAAATATGGAACAAATGTTTTGATCGATTCACGTGGTCCATTCAATAGGTAAATTGTTTTCATTGATTGCTTGAAATGCCATTTTGATTACCTGAATTTTCTTTTTCTCTTATGATTAACAGAACAATGTTACATTATTGTTGTATGTCATACATACCGATTGAAGATTATTCAATACTCAAATTATTATTAGAATTAAAAATGTATATAAATCAACCGGATGAAAAAGGTTTAACACCATTATTATATGCTGCTTATTCGGGAAATTATTCAATTGTAAATTATTTGTTACGAAATCATTCTACCGATATAAATCTATTGGCTGTTGATAATCAAATGAATAATATTCTTCATCTGGCTTGTTTATCATGTTCCAAATTAACCATATTATCAATTATTGATTATGCTAAACAAAATGGTTTAATTGAAAATTTAATTAATGGTAAAAATCATTATCAACAAATACCATTACATTTAGCTGCAAAAAAATTAATGCCAACAATAATTAAAGAATTATTGTATTGTGGTTCATCATGGGATTGTTATGATCAATTCGGATATTCACCAAGTCTTTATTGTACACCAACACGTTTATCGGCATTTTGTTTGGCTACAATTGAAACATTTATGTTACCAATTAATGATACATCAACATCAACGGCCATTGATGATTCATTACAAATAAATGATGAACAAAATGATATTTCGAACAATAATAATACTATCAACGATTCTTCAGTTATAATTAATAATAATAATAATACAATTATAAATAATGATGATAATTTAAATAAAAATAGATTATCATCATCATCAACAATCAATCAACGACAACGACAATCATTACCACCAACAATGGAACGTATAAAAAGTTATGAACAATTAATCTGTGATAAAATGTCAAGATTATCATTGAACAAACAGCCAATTACCATTCGATCATCATCATTATCTGCTCAAAATCAACATTCCATTAATAATAATCATTCAATTGCCGATGATGATTCCGATACCTATTGATAAAAAGAAAAATTATCATTCGAATTACAAACACAAAAAAAAAAATTACTTGCCTTATTATACTTGTTGTTGATTGAGATTTATAAAAAAAAGAATGCACAATTGTTATATTTTTTTAAAAATTACTTTATAAATAAATTACTTTATTTACTAGTCTAATGAATAAAAAGACAACAAAAAATTTTAACTAATGATTGATCCTGAGGGAATCAAAGATCTAATGTTTTGCCATTCGTGATTTAATATTTATTGATTTAATCAATGATTCATTACTTTTGATTGAATTTGTTGGTGATAATTGTAGTTGTTGTTGTGGATGATGTAATGGTTGTAAACTTGCTGATTTAATTCGTTCATTCGACGATGATGATGATGGTGGTACAATACAACAAAATACCCTACCAAATAGATCAAATACTTCGAATAAAGCAAGAAATGAAAAACCCATATAAACACCAAGTATACCACCAATTGCTCCCAATAATGTTGTAACAGTATATTTTGGATATTGTGTTATTTCTTGATAGCTTAATGATTGAAAATAAACAACAACTTTGGCCAAATTATTTTTATCCAATTTCATTTCCGCATCTTCATCATTCGAATCATCATCATCATCCTCATTTTTATTGTTGACTATTTCTACTACTTCATTATTGTTACCATTTGGATTATTTTTGCCACCAAAATTTGCTGTTGTTAATATTGAACATTGTTGCAATTCTTGTCCGGTTGATACAAATTTTTCAAATGATAATTCCGTACATCTAGGTGGACAATCACAATTAATTGTTTCATTATAATACATTTGACGAATTTCTTCTGTACAACGTTCATCTTCTTTTTGTTTACGATTATTACATTGTGATATATCTTGTTTTGGTGGTGGTGATGATGGTATCCAACAATTACAATACATTATTGTAAAACGTTGTAAACATAATTTCAAACAAATTTGTGTTGAATAAGCATCATAATTTAATTCTCTTGCCCATTTTTCTAGGCCACGATCACGCCATACATTTGAACATTTATCCGGATATGGATGTGGTAATCGTGTTATATTTACCATACGTACACCGATATATGTAACAAGACCTGGTGCAACATGTACGGAATCTTGATCCGGATCAGCTCTTGCCGTACTATCATGTATAACAATTTTTGCCCCAGATTCACGTGATGTTGGCATATATTGTTCGGTTTCTAAATTCAATACAATTTCTAGGCCAAATTTTGGCCCAGTAAATCCGGATAATGAATCCTGTACTTTTAAATTATCAATATTAAGATTATAAGTATAACAATTACCATATGAATTATAGAAAAAATGACTAAAATCTTTCGTTGGACTACAAGTACGACCAGCGAATATACATTGTTTAATCAAATCTGGTCCATGATGACCGATAATTTTTGCATCTTCTGGACGATTTTTAGCCAAATCAGCCAGCCATGATGATAAAAGATCTAGCAGGAAAAACCATGGTGTTTCACCTTTCTTAACACTTGATTTTAATGTTTCCAACCATGGTGTTGTACAATTATTCAATGATTTAACAATTTTTTGTGATGTATCATGAAATAATCTTATCAAACGTGGTGTTTTAAATAAACATTCACGATTCATAAATGTTTTCGTCAATTTTTTCAATGTTAATCGAATATTATCCGGCAGTATATCACCAACATCACTGCTACCTAAACGACAACCAGTTGTATCGGTAAATGCTTTCATAAACAACATTGGAATGATATCCAAACTATTTGATACATTAAAACCAAGAAAATTTGCCAATTGTGTTAATGTTTCATCTAATGGTCCACCAGTACCATCGGCCATTGATTTAACTGAATCTTGAAAATCATTATAAATATCAATAATGCTTGAACCTTTTTGTCCGTCACCACGTACAGCATTACCAACTTCACGTACTGTTTTCAATATATCCTGTAATTTTAGTTGTCGTTTTCCACGTAAACGACCACCCTGTCCACGACGACGATTATTATTATCACCATTATTACCAGATTGATCGGTTTTTTTCGATGATTTTTTCAATCCACAAATACTTTCACCTTCATCCATTAAATCTTCCATCATCTATTTTGGATGCGACAAGCGGGGAAAAAGATTATAAAAACAACAGAATTTCAACAACAAACAAGAAATCATATTTACATTTGAAATTTTACATTGATTCAACATATCACCAATTTTTGCACATAAAATATTTTCAATAATATCAGGTTTTTCAACATTTTTTGCTGCACAAAATCTTGATCGATGTACAAGATTTAGATTACAAATCGTTATGGCCGGAAATGGTAATACACGAGAATCGGCAATCCGTACATTAACCGTAACCGGATATTGTACATAATCTTTAATCAAATCAATAAGATCACGAACGGTCAATGTAATGAATATCAATACAACACCAATCCAAAATGATTTTCGTAAACCAGTCGAACTGAATATACGTGAAAAACCCGGTACACCGGAATCAGCACCTAATGTTGTTAATCGTGTACCCATATTCAAAACTGATTCGAAAATGAGTGAATTTTGCCAAACCAAATCAAATCAAACCAAAAACCAATCGAATCGATTGATAGCAACAGAAATCCATTAGAAATTGATTCAATCAAAAACAAAACAAAAAACATTTTTTTTGATTGACACATTTCGCCCAAAACCCAAAAGGTAATCAAATTGATTGATTCGTATATTGGAAATCGTTTTGTTTTTCGCCTACTAAACCAATTCTGTGGTCAGAAACCAAAAAAGAAGGAAATCCAATCCATTTGATTAAACCTTGACCCGAAATCAAATATCAATCCACCGGAAAACACCAGAATCAAGAAAAAAAGATTTCAATTTTTTTTTAATTCTTAAAAATTTTATTATTATTTCACTCTCGCACGTCTATCACACTTGTTTGTTTGTTTTATGTTTTTGTTTGTTGATTTTGGGTTTTTGTTATTGTTGTTGTTTGAAAATGATGAAAATTCTGTAATTTAGAAGTTTCCATTTCATTCATTGTTCAAATGTTAAATTAAGCACATACACACATACATACCAGAGCATTCTGGCATTATTCTTTTTTTTCGAAACAAAACAACAAAAACAAAAAATTTTGGCAAATGTATGGCATATGAATGTTGTTTGATGATGATGATGATTGTAATTGTAATTCAGTGTCTGTATGTGTATCGTATGCATGTGTGTGTTTTTTTATATGATCACAATCGATTGTTGGTTAGGTTATTTTTTGTTTTGTTTCATAAATGACCAAATTGGAAACAAAAAATCCATTCCATTTCATGGTAATAGGTCAAATTTTTTATACGTCCAAGATTCAGCCAAATATTCCTAATGGCTTTCGTTTTGTTTTGTTTTCCCAGTTGTCTTCTTCCTTGTGTTGTATATCAATCATCTGATTCACTGTAAACAGGAAAAAAAAATGATTAAAAAAATCTGAAATCAATCACTCAAATACAAACCTGATTTCTCATAGATATACCGCACACAAACAACCTCCAATCAAAATGATGATGGTAAGGTTTGTATTTAGTTTTTTTTTGAAATGAGTATCCATTGAGTGTGTGTTGTTGTTTGGTGAAATGAGATGGATGTGTAGAGAATCTATTTGATTTGATTGATCAAAGTATATCGATGATTCAAAGAAAAAAAAATTGAAATGTTTGTTGTTGTTGTTTTTTCAATGTTCATTTTTTTTATATATAGTGTTTTATAATCTGGTGTGTTTTTTGAGTGTTTGTATTAATTAATTAATCAACTCTCATACAAATTCACTTTCACACATTTTTTACTTACTTACTTACTTACTTACACACACACTCTCTCTCTCACTTGAATTTTTTTTTTAATTTTTAAATTTGATAATCACTCTCACACACCTGTTTCACACACACACACACACACACATACACTCACACACACACTATGAATTTAAATTTTTTTTTCGCATTTTTTTGTTTGTTTAGCAAACGGCTATTAAGAGCTCCACACATTCTGTTGTTGTTATGTAACGAAATTTTCATTTTTTTCACAATAATTTAAAAATTAAATGATGGATTCGATTGTTGTTGTTGTTGTTGATTACTACCATCTTGGAACATTGTTGGTAGCTGTTGTTGTTGTCCAGGCGTTGTTGTTGCTGTTGTTGTTTGAATACCAAATTGAAATTGATCACCTTGAATCGATGGCTGTGTTTTTGCTGTTATTTCATCATCATCCGTACCGAAATAATTTTCAATAATTTCATAAACTTTTTTATAAATTTCTACATTATCATGTGATTGAAGGAATTCAATTTTATCAAGACCACCACAATGTTCGATAGCCATAGCGACAGGATTTTCACCATTATTTGCATTTTTAATAACTTCACCAGCTTTTAACATATTTTCAATACCATTCAATGCAACAGTTATCATTCTAGCATCATTTACAGTTAAAAATTCACATAATGCTTGAACGCCACCAGTTTCAAATATATACATTATTTGTTCTTGTGAACCACCGGTTGTTGCATTAGTTAATGCCCAAACAACTTCTTTTCTTACTTTAAAATCACGATGTTTCAATAATTCACATAGGGCAGGTATTATATTGGCATTGATTACAGCTTGTATTTGTTCAAGACTACCAGCTGTTATATTTGATATTGTCCAACAAGCTTCTTTTACAATCGTTTCTTTTGGATTAGATAATAGATTATATAATGCTGGTAATGCATTAGCATTTATTATAACTTGAGTTTGTTGATCATAACCAGTTACAATATTACCAACTACACGTAATGCAGCTGCAACTATATTTGATGTTGTATTTGATAATAATTCAACAACACGACGACAAACACCGGAATCAATAACTGTTTGTATTTTTTCATTTGGACCATCAGTTAAAAATGATAATGTCCAACAAGCATCAGCTAAAACATCCGGATCGGCATTAAATATTAACCGAGCTAATACCGGTAAACATTGTTTAACAATATTAAAATCTGGATGTGGATTTTTACCACGACATAGATTTGATAATGTCCATGTTGCATTACGCATTGTTGACATACGAAGATTTTCATTGAATAAACTGTAAACAAAACAAACAAAATCAATCAAAATAGGTTTAGGGAAAAAATTTAAACTTACTCAAGTAATGGTTTCATAATATTAAGACTAAGTACAAAATCACGACAACGTGATGAATCACCAGCAATATTGCCTAATGCCCATACAGCTTGTTCAACAACATCTTCATTTGATGATGATATTAATCGAATCAATATGGGTACAGCACCAGCTTCAACAACACAATTTGTTTGTTCCGAATTACCGGATGCAACATTTGTTAAAGCCCATGCTGCTTCAAATTGTAATAATGGTGATTCACTTTCTAAAAATCTAACAAATTGTGGTATGATACCGGTTTTTATAACTTCTTCAATCGGTGGATTAGGTTCTTTTGATAATATTTTACGAAATTGTTGTGTTGCTTCTAAATTCTTTTCCAAATCATTTACATAAACATTTTGTATCATCAATTCCGTTATACCGGTACCATTCATATCCAACAATGATTCATCGACAATATTTCTACGTTTCGATAATTCGGTTTCACGTTTTTGTTTACGTAATTGTATACCTTCTTCTTCACGACGACGTCTTAATTCTTGTGCATCGGCACCAACATTTTTATATTTACGATGACCGGTTGACATTTTTGGTGATGATATTATGTTGGTGGCTGTTATCGTCGATTTTGTCGATGATGATGATGACGATGATGTACCGTTAACAACTATACTATTATTTAATGAAAGTCCAGATGATTGATTTTTATTATTATTATTTCGTAGATTATAAACCTAAATCGGTGAAAAAGAAAACAAGAAAATATAAGTTTTTTTTTAACTAAAAAAAAGTAAAATTTTAATGAAAACAAAAATGGAATTGGGTTCGAGTTGTAACGACTTTTTAAAATCTTTTCAAGATCGGGAATTAAATTAACTGCAACAACAACAAATTTTTCAACAATTATTGAATGTGACCAGAAAAATTACCAAAATTTACAAACAAAAATTTCAATAAGAAAAAACGCGTGTTCGCAGATGAAAAAAAAAAACACAAATTCGTTGTTGTTGCCTTTACAGTCTGAGCAATTGATTATTGATGTACAAAATTGATCAAAAATGATATTTGATTCGAATGGATGTTCTTATTCGAAGAAAGTGAAGAAACACAAAGAAAAACTTTTAATCAATTTTTTTTTCACTATTCTTTAATCATCATTTAACATCGGATATATATCTTATCAAGAATGAATGAATGAAAAACAACAACAAAGTAAATGTGTGCAATCAAATGATGAGGATACGAAAAAAAAAATGATGAAAAAGAAAAAAACAACCGACATTTCTCGATAAAAAACATCTATACAACAACACAACACACACGTTGTTATTTATTTCGAAAAAAAATAGCAGTGGCAATTGGAGGAAAAGAAGAAAATTCTTCGAATCGCGTATACGCAAAAAGAGAAAAGAGAAAAAGAGCAAATCATTAAAATGTCGTTGTCGTTTACTGATTGGAGAAATGGGGGGAGGAAAAATTTTTTTTTCATTCTCGAACCGTTCATAAATGACGAATTTGAATGGAAAAAATTCGAATTTTGTTTTTCTGGATTTTTTTTTGTAAATTTTTTGATTTGAATTTTTTTAAAAAATTTAATTAATTTTTCTCTCTCCTAATTAATATTGTTGGTTTTCATCAAAGAAGAGGAGTAGAGATTCAAATATTTCAAAGTTATTTTTATCATTATCAAGGCTGTATAAAATAATGTATATTTGGCGACATTGGCTAAATTTAGAATCCGAAAAAAAAAACATTTATTTTTATCATTTCACTTACGTTTTCCATTGAAAATTTCGATAATTATGATGATGAAATATGAACAATGTTTTTTTGGCGATGGCAAAATGAAAAGAAAGAACATCGACAAAAAACTTTACAGCTTTTTATATGGAGAAAAAAAAACGTTCAACAATATGGTGTGCGCGTGATGAGTAAGATTCAAAAATTTTGAAAAATTTGTAAATTTATTAATTGTTAAATTTATTTTATCTATTCAAAAGCCTTTTATTTATCACAAATTATTTATTGACTAGTCGAAAAAAATGACTATGATCATCATCAAGTAATGATTGTGGTTGGCCATCTTCAATTAGTTTACCATTATCAAATACCCATATACGATCACAATCCATTATTGTATTTAATCTATGTGCAATAATTAACATTGTACAATGAGCAAATCTTTTACGTAATGTTTGTTGAATTTGATGATCTGTTTGTTGATCAATATGTGCAGTTGCTTCATCCATAATAATTATCACTGGTTTCATTGTTTGTCGATTTTGTAGTAAAATTCTTGCTAAACAAAGTAATTGTTTTTGTCCAACACTTATTGTTTTACCATCGATAATCGGTTGATCAATACCAAATTCAAATGATCGTACTAAACATCCAAGACCAACTAGATCTAATACTTGCCATAATTCATGATCATCATGATGTTGATTATCGTTAAGCAAAAGACATAAATTTTCACGTACGGTTCCATTGAATAAAACCGGTGATTGTGGTATAATATTCAGGAAATTTCGTCGTAATTCGAATGTGGAAATATCACGAATACAATGTCCATTTATATGAATTTGTCCATCAAAATAAACTAAACGTAACAAAGTATTGATTAATGTTGATTTACCAGCACCACTACGACCACAAATACCAATTTTTTCACCATGTTCAACCTGAACATTAATATTATTCAATGCAGGTGTTGTATCATAATAATAGGCCGAAAGTTGTTTGATTTCGATAGCCAATTTTGATGTTTTGAATATTTTTCGATGTTTTGACACTTCATGTTCGACTTCATGAATATTATTATCTTCATGTTTTAGGCGATCAAAAATCAATAAATTTCGATAAGAATTTATGCAAAAATCCGAATCAATTGCACGTTTACATGCCCATTGTGTAATACCGATTAGATTGAATATTGAAGCCAAACAAACACCAATTAATTGTTGATTATAATGAAATGATTGTATGGCAATCAAAACGAATATTATATAAATTAATGATATTAAATCAACTAATAGACAAAATATTCGACTGGAAACATTTTGCCCAAATAATTCAGCTGTATGTAGATTGGTTAATTGAAGAAATTGTTGTTGAAAATAATCAATTACCCGGTATGCACGAATAGTTATCGCACCGTTTATTGTCGAAGTTAGATGATTGAATACAGCATTTCTAGCTAAAATAGATAAATTTTTAATCGAAAAAATCCAAAATTTCAATATTGCAAAAGAATGATAAACTTACCGGCGAATTCAGATTTCCGAATCCGATGAAATGGTCGAACATAACTTTCCAATAAAGTGATTAACATTATCATATAAATCAATGTAATCAATGCCATATATGGACTTAAAAATAATATAACAATAATAATTGTCATTACTTGTGATAATGCCAGATTCAATTCGAATAATGTTGCCGGTAATGTTTCATCCAATATACCGATATCACGTGAAAAATAATTTAAAATTTGTCCATCAAAATGATTATTGATTGTTGTTGTTGTTGTTGTTGTACAATGAACAATATTATTAACTAATTGATTATGAAATATTTCCGATGCTTGATGACATAATTTATAAAATGAAAATGATCGTACAATAGCCATTATGATACCGATCAATATAATAGCTGTATAAATTTGACAAAAATTTTCATTAGTTATTTGTTTTGATTGCCATTGTGAAAGCCATTGATCACATAAATAAAGCATTAATTGTGTACCAATCGATGTAATCACTACCAAATGAATTGATCCAAAACCTGAAGATCCACGTTGAAGATATTGCCATATATCCAGCCAAAGACTAAAACCAATCGTTGATTTAATTATCGATGAATCATTTGAAATATTCAATTCTTTTAAACGATGTTTTTCTTTTGATTTTGATTTTGGTTGTTGTCGATGTTGTTCATCTAAAATTTGATCATTTTCAATGAATGGTGGTAATGGTTCAATCAATGGTTTCGTATAGAATTCTGTTTGTTTTTGTTCAGAATTCAATAAAAGAACACGAATATTATGACTATTATGATGATCATATGCAAAATGTAATTGATGTGTTGCCATAATAACAATCTTATTTCGTAAATATTTCTTAATACATTGATCAAATATACATTTAGCTAAATGTGAATCTAATGAACTGAAAGGATCATCTAAAAGATAAATATCAGAATCACTATATAAAGCACGTGCTAATTCAATACGTATTCGTTGACCACCACTTAAATTACCACCACCTTCATCAATAATTGTTTGATCATTCAATGACATTTGTTCAAAATCATAATCTAAACATGTAAGTTGAATAATTTGTTGATATCGATTTGAATCATATGAACGACCAAATAAAATATTTTCACGAATTGTTCCATTAAAACAGAATGCTTCTTGTCCAGTATAGGCAATCGATCCATTTACATTGAAATGATTAGATTTTTGTACATTTAATTCTCCTAATAATGTTAATAGCAGCGTACTCTACAGAGATAAGATAATTAGAGGTTTTTTGGTTAGAAAAAACAAACAGAACAGTATTTACCTTTCCACTACCAACCGGACCAATAATGATTAGAATTTGTCCACGTTCAATTTTGAATTCAATGTTTTTCAAATCAAAATGACAATTTATATTCGGTGTTAATCCACGAACATGAACAATCGGTTTGTTATTGTTATGATCATGATCTGATAATGTTCGATGTTTATAATCGATAACATTTGGTTCGGCAAGAAATTGATCCATTTGTTTACATGCATTAAACATATCGAATGATGATGAAATAGCTTGTGGTAATGTCCATACAAGTGAAAAACGTAATCGTTCAAATAATGTTATTGAAACCAGCAATGTTTCGATTGAAAATTGTTCCTGAATATCGGTAATATTGAATATGATTAATGATAATATGAATGTTAGATACATGATAACACGACTGGACATCATTGAAAATGACAGCATTATTGAACGTGCAACTAATGGCCAATGAATGTATAGGATTTCCATACGTCTTGCAAGGAATATTCGTCGAATGAATGGTTGTTCAAGTGCCAATATTTTCAATGTTCGAAGATGAATAAATGTTTCGTTTAAAAATTTTAATCGTTGATCAGTGAAAACGATAGCAGCTGAACGTTTTAAGGAAAATCGTCGACTTAGATAAGAATTCAATAGGGCAAAACTTATAAACATTGTAAATGCAAACAAACTTGCTGATCCAAGATAACCATATGCAATGATCAATATTATGACTGTTTGAATCGGTACCAGAATTAAATGATAAAATAGCAGTGCAAATTCATCAAATCTTCTTGTTTGTGATGTTAAAAGATTTATGATTCCGGATATATTTCGATGATAAACTGATTGATATGAAAGATGTAAACATTTATCAAAGATCACAGATGACCATATAATTTTCATTCGCATTGAAAGTCTTAATGCTAATAACATAGCTGGATGATGACAAACGATTAATGCTAAACTTGTTATACATAAACCAATGATCATCCACATTGGATTCGATGATGATGATGATGATGAAAAATGACGTATAATCCAACCGATCAATATTGGTTGTATGGATTTGATTATACAATCCTGTAGGAAAAACAATACAAACGGTAGACGAATTTCGTGGCCAAATGTTTTTATCAAAGCTAAAAGCGTACGATTATTATTATTGCGAATGAATTTTGATCGATCATTATAATTTCTAATATGAAAAATGTCAACAAAAGAAAGAAAAAAAGATTTCTCAAAAATCAGTTCATCACATTCGAATCACTTACGAATGAAACTCTCGGAACAGACAATCAGCTTCATCTTGTTTTGGACATTCATTAGATTTTGTTGATGGATAAAAATAAAATATCCATCTGAAATTATCGTAAAAAAAGAAGATTATCTTAGAACAAAAAAACAAAAAACAATTTTTGTGTTTTTTACAAACCTGGAAAACAATCGATGGTACCACCATCGATATGATTCGACCATTTCCGTTCGAATTTTTTTTCGTTGTTGTTCGAATTTCAACAAAATTCTTAATCAAAAAACAAATTTTCTTGAAAAATTCTTTTAAAAATTTTGATGACGTTTTTTTGTTTTATTACACCAACAACAACAACAACAACAAAAAACAAATCAACTAAAATGATGATGATTAGGTCAACAGGTTTGTCATGATATCGAGCAACAAACAATGTAAGTAACAGTAATATTTGAGAAATACAGACAGGTTATATTTATTCCTTTGAAAGATGTTTATGGTCGAATGGCTTTATTTTTTTTTTCTCTCTCTCTCTCTCTCTTTCAAATTGCAGCTGATTTTGGTTTAAAATAAAAAAAAATGGAAAACCAGTCTTTATTTTTTTTTCGTCTGTTGGACGCAATCGAAAACAATGGAATTTCCTTGGCAAAACAAAAAAAAACTTCAAAAATTTTCGAAAAAATCAATTTTAATTATTCAATCCAAAATTATGGTTAACTACAACTACACAACAACAGCAAAATGATATTTAATGGTATGTTTGTGTTTGTTTTTTTTCAGAAAAATGGATGTGAACATAGAGAGAAAAATAGATTTGAATAAAAACAACAAAATGAATGAATGTCAAATGATAATTATACACATTCATAAATTATTTTAGAATTATAATCATCATCATCATATAATGTAATTAACAAAGATTTTTTCCCCTGATTAATAATTCAATGTTAAAACAATTTTCGTTGTTGTTGTTGGAACAGGTGCCAGCAGAATTGGAAAAATATGCTAATCATATGTGTATGTATGGATAAAATGATGAATATTTCGAATGAGAAAAAAACGATGAAATTATTTCATGAAATACGATTGTTGATTTTGTTGTTCATTTAAGTGAATTTAATCGAATTAACACCCATATTGATTGGTCCACCACCATAACTACCACGTTTTTTTTTCGTTTTTTCACGACGAAAATCTTTACCACGTACTGTTGATAATTTTGCTGCAGCTTGTTCACCCCAACGATCAAATCCACGTTTCGAATTAAATGAATTATCACGTAAATCTGGTTTGGCTATTTCTACTTGTTCAACATTTACACGTCGAAATGGTGTATTTGTTTTTTTTCCACTTCCTTGACCATTCATTAAAGTTTCACCATTTTGTTTTAAACCACCATTTGTCATCGTAGATTTCGTAGCATTATCATCATCATCACTATCATCACTTGAATCTGATGAAGAATTGGCCAATTTTTTTGTACCATTATAAATTTGTTGACCAGTCAAAGATTTATTAGCCATTGGTTTCGATTTTTCATCATCATCATCGGAGCTATCATCATCAGAATCTGAAGATTCCTGAGCTTTCGATTTTGATACAGGTTTTGTCACTGATTTAGTCATTGCAGGTGTCGATTTAGGTGTTACTTTTGCAACAGGCTTATCATCATCATCCGAGCTATCATCAGAATCCGAAGAAGTTTCATTAGATTTTTTAGCCGGTGTTACTTTTGACAATACAGGAGTAATAGTAGTTTTGATTACTTTATTGACCGCTTTGATTTTTGGTTGATCATCATCGGAACTATCGTCAGATGAATCATCCGATGATTCCTTAGATTTTTTAGCAGGCTGTACTTTTGGTGTCGTTGCTACAGGTGTTTTCACTATCGGTTTAGATGCTGCTGGTTTTTTAATAGTCGGTTTGGCTGGTTCATCATCCGAACTATCATCAGACGAATCATCCGATGATTCCTGTGCCTTTTTAGCTGATTGAACTTTAGGAGCCAAGGCTACAGGTATTTTTACAATAGGTTTAGGTGTTACTGGCTTCTTGTTCGTCGGTTTTGCTGGTTGATCATCATCATCATCCGAACTATCATCAGATGAATCTTCTGATGACTCCTGAGTCTTTTTAATCGGTTGAACTTTAGGCGTTGTGGCTACAGGAGTTTTGACCAACGGTTTAGATGTTGTTACCTTATTGACCGCTTTCATTTTTGGTTGATCATCATCTGAACTATCGTCAGATGAATCATCCGATGATTCCTGAGCTTTTTTAGCTAGTTGGACTTTTGGTGTTGTTGCTACAGGTGTTTTGATCAACGGTGTAGAATTTGCCGGTTTTTTAATCGTCGGTTTTGCTGGTTGATCATTATCATCGGAACTATCATCAGATGAATCATCCGATGATTCCTGAGCCTTTTTAGCTGGCTGTACTTTAGGTATTGTGGCTACAGGTGTTTTTACCGATGATGCAGATGTGGGCGGTTTTTTAATTGCCGGTTTTGATGGCTGATTATCATCCGAACTATCATCAGAGGAATCATCTGATGATTCCTGAGCCTTTTTAGCTGGCTGTACTTTTGGTGTGATGATTGCAGGTGTTTTTACCGATGGTACAGGCTTTTTGATCGTTGGCTTTGCTGGTTGATCATCATCTGAACTATCGTCAGATGAATCATCCGATGATTCTTGTGCCTTTTTAGCCGGCTGTACTTTTGGTGTCGTTGCTACAGGTGTTTTCACTATCGGTTTAGGTGTTGCTGGTTTTTTAATAGTCGGTTTGGCTGGTTCATCATCCGAACTATCGTCAGACGAATCATCCGATGATTCCTGAGTTTTTTTAGCCGGCTGTACTTTAGGGGTGGTGATTGCTGGTGTTTTTACTATCGGTTTGGCTGGTTGATCGTCATCCGAACTATCATCTGATGATTCCTGAGCTTTTTTAGCCGGCTGTACTTTTGTTTTTGTTGCTACAGGTGTTTTAACTATCGATGTCGATATTGTAGATTGTTTGATCGTCGTCTTAGCTGGCTGATCATCATCATCCGAACTATCATCATCAGATGATGATTCAGGTTTTGTTGTTGATTTTTTTGCTGGTACAAAATTTATTTTTGAAATTTGCGATTGTTTATTAACCAATGCTGGTGTTGCCAATTTTTTCTTTGGTGGTTCATCATCTGAACTATCATCCGATGATGAGCTATCTCTTGCGTTTTTAGCAGTTGATGGTTTGACGACAGGCGTAGATTTTACTGAAGCTGGTCCTTTTTTAACTGGTGGCTTTCCATCATCATCATCATCATCGGAACTTGAATCATCTGAACTTGATTGTTGTGGTTTTTTCGATAAAATATTAATTTTCGATGGTGGCTGAATGGTTAATGAATTATTTTTTGCATTATTATTATTTTCATCTTTTCCATTTAAATTCGATGACCAATTATTATACAATTCATTCAATGATGGACATTTATTTCCATTATTTGTTTTTGGATTCGATTTATTTGCAAATTTTAATTGACGAAATTCCGGATATAATTTTGAAAAACGTTGTTGATTTTGTTTTAAATATTCAATGACAATCATATCGATTGTCTGCTGTTGTTGTTGATTCATGTTTATCTTGTTTGTTTTATCAGATCAATACTTTCTTTTCTAAAAAAATCAAATAAAAATTGATGACGAAAAGACAGAAAAAAAGATGGAAAAAAATTTGTCTCGTTGTCTTCAAAAGCACACACACATCACACAATTTAGACAAACGAGCATGCATGCCAACATTCGAAAACACTGAAAGCATGGAACAACGTGATTTAAGGATGGTCGAATCCTATCGATACAATCGATTTTTTTTTAATTCGAAAAAAATTCGAATTTTTGTTGATTTTTTTATAATTTTACAATTTATAACTTTTCAATTTGACCATTTTTGTAAAAAAATTTTTACAATTACAAATCATGTTTGGCTATGGATTTTCTAATCGAGATTTTCGACCACAAGATTATGGAATAGTATTTTTTCTATCATTTCTCGGTGCATTTATTTTAGTATTTATCACTAGTTTTATGTTTGGTATGAGAGATTTTAGAATATTTTTCAAATGTATATTAAAAAATCCAAGATTATTTTTCTTCATTTTCAGACGTCTGCGTTTATTGTTTAATCATAAAATTCAATTTCAGTAAGTTTATTATTAAAAAAAATTTTATCTCGTTGAATCTAATGTAAATCTTTTCAAATATGATTGCAAAAAAAAGTATTGTCCGGAAATTAATGCCCGGAAAACGAATCGATGAATTCCGTCCATCAATCGAACAAGTCAAACGAAATGTTATTGGTTTTGAAATCTATAAAGAAATATTGGAAAATGGTCGTCATACAATACTATTATGTTTAATTGAATTACGTTTACTTTATCTAAGACGTAGATTTGAAAAAGAAAATATTGGATTTTCTACTTTAAATCGTTATGGTCGTGAAAAACGTGTTAAAGATCTAGTAAAAGATATTATTAATCGTTTTGGTCATTCAGTTGGTCGTGGACAACCAAATATAGAACATTTAACACGTGCACAACAATTAGATCCAAAATTGGAACAAAAAATGGTTTATATATTATCACAGCCTGGTATTGAAGCAAAATATTTACAAACTGGTTTTAATTGGGGTAGAAAATTAATTCTTCGAATTAAAAAACAAATGAATCGTCCAAATGTTCAATAATTCAATCAAAAAAAACCCCTATATAAACTCAACTTTTTTTTACAAACCAAAAAATTCTTATTTTCTTTTATGATTTTATTGTTTGACGACGAAAATAATGGAATCAACAAAACCGACAATGGAAGAAATATTACGAATGAATTATATGGATGAATTATCTGAAGAATCATTACCCGATGAATGGATTGAATCATTAATGAAAATATATTATAAACATATCCAAATGAATAATGATACAAAAACTGTTGATCAAAATAATGATAATGATGATGATCAACAAAAGTAATGTTGATCAATGTTTTATTACCGAAATTATATAAAATGATTTGATTCGAATGGATGCTGTCTGTTTGTTTGTGTGTAAATAATGTTATGATAATGAAAATTATGATTTTTTTTTTGGTGTTTTTAACAGAAAAATTAAATTACAAACTAAATAAATTTGAATGAAGAAATTAAAATCGATTTTTTGTTTTGTTTTGTTTCTGTTGTCAGCTGACGATTGATTTATTGAAAAAAATTCTGCTGCTGTTGTTGTTGATCATAATTATCCATCTCTGATGATTCTTGTTGTTGTTGTTGTTCGGCCATCATTTGTTGCATCATACTTGCATATGATAATGGTGGTGGTTGTTCGATATTACTATTATTATTATCCACCATATTACTATTACTATTATCATCATCGTCATTATTATTATCGATATTATTATTCTCTGGATAACCATCATCAATATTGTTATCATCATTATCATTATTATAATCATTATCATCACCATTATTATTATTATCATCATTTTCATGATTATCATTGATATGATCTTCATTTTCATGATCATCATCATCATCATCTTCATGACGATCACGATGATCTTTTGAATGTTTTGATGATGATGATCGATGTCGATCTTTTGATCGGCTACGTGATGATCTTTTTGATGATCGATGACGAGATGATGATGATGATTTCCGTTTGCTATCTCGATCGCGTTCACGATCACGGTCTCGTTCACGGCCACGATCTCTATCACGTGATGATGACGTTCCATGACGACGTTCCATTGAACGTGATCGTGAAGAACGACGATGATGATGATGATGATCCATATAACCACGTTCACGTTCACGATCATTTGCATTACGGCGATCCATAGCATCAGCACGACGTCTACCATAAAGTTCACGTCGTAATTCTCTTGATATTGGTTTGATGTGCATAAAATTACAGAAACCGCTTCGAGTACATTCACTGAAAACAGAAAAATTTTTTGATAATTTACAATTTTATCATCGAAAACAACGGAAAACAAACATACCCCATTTCATATTGTCGACAACAAGCTTCACGAAAATCTGTAACCGGTGATAATTCGGCACAAATAGCTCGACCACCAAACCAACGATTATTCAGATCGGAAACAGCACGTTCAGCATCTTCTTCACGACGAAATTTTACATAAACATTACCAACTAAATGATCACCAAGATTATCGCATACATTCATTTCTTCAATTTCACCATATTTATCTTCTAATTCGATAAAAACATCTTCAAAAAAATCATCAAAATGTTCTTGTGCTTCTTCATCGCTCATTGTATGTACACGAGTAATTGTTGTTCCTAAATGGATTCGAAAGAATTTAGTCAAAATTCACCAACTCAACTATTTATTCAATTCAACTTACTTGGCATTTCTTTACCGGTTCCTTCGGTTGTTTGTGTTACATTCTGTGGATTTTGATATAAATTTTGCAATAAAATTGTCTATAAAAAAATCAATTATTATTTACAATTTACAATCAATTTGGTTGCGAATAATGAATTACCTGACTAAATGTTGGTTTATTATGGATACGTGAACAACGTTCACCATGACGACAGGCACCAATTTTAAAATAAAATGAACAATTAACCCTATGTTTTTGCAAAGAAAAAAAATTAGAAATTTTTCAATACAAAAAAAAACAGAATTCTTTACTTGTCTTTTTCGGTACCAAAAATCGATGCTAAATAATCGGCCATTTTGGATTATTTGAAAATCAAAAGAAATAAAAAATAAAATGAAATTTATCCGATTGATAAATCGGAAAATTATCCGACCGAAATTTTTCTTAAACAAACAAAAAATTCATTCAAAAATCGATGACAACAATACCGGACTCTCTCTCTCAACTTTGACTCATGACAAGAATAATACCAAAAAAAAAAAAACGCGTTCTGAGTGGAGCGGCATGCATATTGAGTGACCAGAAAAAAAAGTAGTCAAAAAACTACCACTATTTGTAACTAATTTGTTCCTATATAGTCAACTGCTACTAAATTTTCGGATTACTAAATAAAATTATGGTAGCTATCAAAAAATGGTAGCAAGTAGCGAATTGATCGATACAATCGATTTTTTTATTTTCGAATATATCATTAGAAAAAAATGACAATTTCCTTCGTCATAATTTTTGTAAAATGAAAATTTGACAACAATCGTAGATTACATCATGAATATTTTGGAAATATAAGCGGATCAATTTCAATTTGGAAAATCAAAACCAAATGGTATCGTATTTTTTTTTTGTTTCCATTAAGATCAATGATCTTATGATCTTTTGATGATTGTATTTCAAGTGTCAAAAAAATCCCGTCCAGAAGAAAAAGATGATGATTAAATGAACAATAAGACATTGGAGAACGTTCTTGATCTTGGAACACCACCATTCGATCAAAATAATTCATCAAAATCAGAAATTTTTATTGCAATCAACAATGTCATGGTAATAACGATTGTATGAATTTTCCCATATTTGTCGATTTCGTTTACATTTTCATTTTCATTTCGGTATGTTAAAATTCACATCAAACGTAGGATGATTTTCACTCTCTCCCTCTCTCTTTTTTTTACTAATCTGCTTTCCTAATAGTAATGTAATGATGATGATGACAAATCAATTAAAGCGAGTGTGTGGAAATATTTTTTTGGTAACAACGACAAAAATTCATTAACACACTTCCTATAAATTGAAAAAAAAGAACATTTCATCAACATTTATATTGCATCGACAAAACACTCAACACAATCACAGCCAACCAACCAACCACCCACATATCCATCATTGATTCATTTAATTTTACCTATTTCGCTCCCCTTTGCTCATCATCATCAACATCGAAATGAAATCAATTTCGTAATGATAATGATGATGATGAAAACAATCAAGTTGGCCTCAAAAAAAAAGATCGAATAATGATTGTCGAAACAACAAAAGTAGCCAAAAAAAACTGATAATAACCTTGTTGTTGTTGTTACTTTCAATTCAATTTAATTGACGGAACGTTTTTTCGTTCGTTTGTTTGAAAACTTTTTTTTTCTGTTAAATTGTCTCACCAAATCTCATTATGCAAAACACATGTATGTTTTTTTTCCATTGTGTGCCTGTACAGACATCGAAAAAATTGATTGCCATTTTGTGTCTGTGTGTGTGCCATACCATCACCCATTATCATCATCATCGACATCGACATCGGCAACAATATTATCGTTATTGTCGTTAAAATGCAGCCCACATGACAAAATAATAATTATTATTAAGTGTGTGTGTTTGTAATGAGACACTCCCAGCAACAAGTGTGTATTCCATTTAAATCGTATAGCAACAAACAACAGTAAACGATTGATGGAAGAAAAAAGTAGAAGAAAAAATCAATTGTCTATTGGATCCTAAATAAAAAAATATTGCAGATTTGTACTACGCTGATAATAATGACAAGAAATCTATGACAATTCCACTTTCGATCGTTTCGATGTTTTTTCCATTCTCTCTCTCTCTTTCACTTGTTTTTATCTACGGATGGATTGAAGTGGATTTTTTGTATTTTCTTTTTTTAGGTAGAAATCAAACATAACATTTTGGATTCATTTATGAAACAAAAAACTGTTCAATTTATTTATGCATCAATTAACCATTTGTTTTCCATTTGAAAAAAAAATCTTTCAACTTTTTCCAATGTTTGCTGGATTCGAATGAAAAAACATTTCATTTTTCCCTCCATTTTATTTTTCCCAAAATTTTTTACCGTCTGTTACCATCGCGCCATATCAATTATATAAAAGTGGTGTAAATAATCTTCGCTTTCTCTCTCTCTCACCATATCCAAAATAACAAGTTTATAACCTGAAGAAGAAAACCAAGAAAGGCTTAACCAGTTTTTTTCTTTTGTGTATTCGTTTGTGAACATCCACTTAAACATCCCATTATCCTATTATCATCCATTTCATTCATTCAGAAATAAATGTTGTGTGTTTGAACAGAAATTTTTGTTTGTTTGTGATGTTTGATAATGATAATATGGTGGTGAAATGCCATCATTTAAATCGATGAATCATCGCATCTCTTTTCATTCGGAAGTTTTTTATTCCTATTAATTGATTGATTTGATCATCTGGACAGTAAGAAATATTTGTTTTTTGTATTTGAAAATCAAGAAAACAACCGAAAAAATGTCGCATTTAACCGGACAAGCTGGTGTTGGTGATTGTGTTCTATTGGAAAATATAACCAAAGAATCATTGATAGAAAATCTTAAAAAAAGGTAAGAATTTTTTTGTTTTTTGCTTTTTGGCTTTTTATTATTTATTTAGCTGTTGTTAATCAACAACAATCAACATTCATTAGTAAAAATCATTCAATCAATGTGATTTATTAATAGTTGCAAAAGATTTCTTAATTTTTGAATGTTTGTTTGTTGTTGCAATCGACGAATGTTATAAAACTAATAGATAGTTAAAATAAATATAATTAAGATCGTCTTGGATACCATTGAATAAATATCTTTTCCTTTTTTGTTTTGTTTTGTTTTTAAAAATTAAATTAGATATCAATCAGGATATTATTATACCTATATTGGTGAAGTTTGTATATCATTAAATCCATATAAAACATTATCAATATATGGTGCGGATAATGTACGTGAATATCGTGGCCGTGAAATATTTGAACGTCAACCACATATATTTGCTATTGGTGATGCTGCATATAAAACAATGCGTCAACAGGTACAGGATACCTGTATATTAATATCCGGTGAATCTGGTTCCGGTAAAACAGAAGCATCCAAAATTATAATGCGTTATTTAGCTGCAATAACCAATATTAATGGACAAGATGAAATTGAAAGAGTTAAAAATATTTTACTCAAATCTAATTGTATATTAGAAACATTTGGTAATGCAAAAACAATACGTAATGATAATTCATCAAGATTTGGAAAATATATGGATATTAATTTTGATTTTAAAGGTGATCCATTAGGTGGCCATATTAATAATTATCTTTTAGAAAAGGTATTATTAATTTTTCTAAATTAATTAATGTTTTATCAATGATTAACCTAATTTTGTTTTATCAATGTCTCTGTTTTTTTTTGTTGTCACCTCATTTTTTCATGGCCATTTAAAATTAAATTTAAAGTCACGTGTTGTAACACAACAACCAGGTGAACGAAATTTTCATTCATTTTATCAGCTATTATTTGGTTGTTCTGAACAACGTCTAAATGAATTATCATTACAACGTAATCAACAATTGTATAATTATTTAAGACAAGGACAAGTATCAAAATTAACAAATGATAATGCAAATTATAAACAAGTTGAATCGGCAATGAAAATATTACAATTTAGTAATGATGAAATTATTGCTATTGATCATATATTAGCTGCTATTATACATTTAGGTAATATACAATTTGTATTGAATCAATCTGATCATGGTAAATCATCATCATCATCATCAACGGTATTGATTGATCCAAAAACACGGCAATATGCACAAAATGTTTCAAAATTATTATCCATATCGATGGAACAATTGGAAAAATCATTATGTTCAAGAACAATAACAGCTAATCGTGAAATAATGCGTAAAGATCATACAATAGCACAATCTGAAGCTGGTCGTGATTCATTTGCCAAAGCCATTTATGAACGATTATTTAATCATGTTGTTTCTGGTGTTAATCGTGCATTAATGGTTGATCATAATGCTAATCATAAACAACATCATACTTCATCATCAATTCAATCACAATGTGCTGTTATTGGTGTATTAGATATATATGGTTTTGAAGTACTTGAACAGAATAGTTTTGAACAATTCTGTATAAATTATTGTAATGAACGTTTACAACAATTATTTATTAGTTTAGTATTACGACAAGAACAAGAAGAATATGCACGTGAAGGTATTAATTGGATACAGATTGATTATTTTGATAATGCACCAATATGTTCATTAATGGATAATGTTAAAACCGGTATGTTTGCAACAATGGATGATTCATGTTTAGCTGTTGGTCGTATAACTGATCCATTATTATTGGAAACAATGGATAATAAATATCGTAATGAAAAATATTATGATTCAAGACGTAAATCACCAACAGATAAATCATTAGAATATGATCATCATTTTCGTTTAAAACATTATGCCGGACCAGTTGTTTATGATATTCAAGGATTTATTGAAAAAAATCGCGATACATTATTTCAGGATTTTAAACGTCTTTTATATTCAAGTAAAAATAAAGTTATTTCAGGTATGAATATTCTTATGATTTTTATATTTTTAACCTGTTTTAAATAATTCAAATTTACAGAAATGTGGCCTGAAGGTGCAAAAAATATAACCGAAGTAAGTCGAAGACCTGTAACAGCCGGTTATCTATTTAAAACATCAATGAATGATTTGATTGAAAATCTTAAGAAAAAAGTTCCATTCTATATTCGATGTATAAAACCGAATTCGGATAAATCACCATCAAAATTTGATCCATCCATTGTATCACATCAGGTTGAATATCTTGGTTTGGTGGAAAATGTTCGTGTACGTCGTGCCGGTTTTGCACATCGTTCAACATATGAACGTTTTTATCAACGTTATAAAATGATATCATCATCAACATGGCCAAATTTTCGTGATGGTGATGCTAAACAAGCCAGTAAAGCATTGATCAATGATAAACATTTTAATTCGGATGTTGAATATGGTAAAACAAAAATATTTATACGATCACCACAAACAGTAGTAGAATTGGAAAGACAACGTGAACTTTATATTAATATGATAATCGTATTGTTACAAAAAGTTTGGCGTGGTACATTGGTTCGTATGCGTATACGAAGACTTCGTGCGGCTATGTATATTCTGCAAGCATATCGTCGTTATAAACTTCGTCAATATCTATCTGAATTACATTCAATAGCCATACAGACACGTCAATTATATCAACCGGGTCATTCTTCATCATCATCGGGTAGAATGACAGCAACAAAACAGCGTTTAGAATTGGAACAAAATGGTTGGCCAAAAGCACCAAAATCATTAGTATCGGTTGTCAATGTTATTCAACGTATTTATCGTCGATGGAAAGCATGGTTATTATTACGTCGTATACCACGTGAACAATGGAATGAATTTCGATTGAAAATAATTGCAACATCAGCATTAAGTGGACGTCGTTTAAATTATGGTCTTTCGGATAAATGGATTGGTAATTATCTTGGCCAACAGGAAACCAATTTAAAAGCAAATCAATTTAAAGCCGAAGTTCGACAATTTTTACCAAATGAAAATGTTTTATTTTCAAGTCGTGTTATAAAAGCATCATCATCATTTTTACGAAAATGTGTTGATCGTTGGATTGTTGTTACTGAACGTAGTATTTATCGAATTGATTGGAAAACATCTAAATTGGTTGGCCATTCAACACCAATAATGGATGCAACTGGTATTGCCATAACAAAAGGTATTGATCAATTAGTTGCCGTTAATGTACGTGGTGGTAATGATTTTGTTGTTGCATTTGTTGATTCAAATGATCCATTTATTCGACCAGTAAATCGTATTGGTGAATTTGTTGCAATCATAATGAAACAATATTCAATATTAACTAAACGTGATTTAATGGTTACCATAAGTGATTCTATTCATTGTCGATTAGGTAATAAGGAAAAAGTTTTAATTGTCGAACCAATTGGTGGACAACATCCAATACAAGTTTTATTTAAACGAAATGGTAATCATCTTAGTTTATTATGGCCATCAACATTACAACAACAACATTCAAATGGTCTGTAAAGCCATATTAAGCCAGCCATTTAACCCCATTTCGACCAAGAAAAAAATTTTTATTGATTTTCTATGAAGAAAAAAAGTTTCAAAATTTATTTTTTGTTTTTATTTTTTTGTTTTTCGTCTAATTTTTGAATAAATCTAAAATTTGGTGTTTTTTTTTGTAATGGAGTCATCATTATTATTATTTTGGTTGTTTAACGATTGGAAACAATGGATTATTATTTCATTCATCTTCATCCGAATCATTTTGTTCAATTTGATCCATATTTGATATATTATTAGGTATTTCATTATTATGATTATAATAATAATAAATACCAGCAACCATAAATACAATCGATACTAAAACAGGTAATAACATCCAAAATGATGATGCTGAATAATGTGAATCACGTATTTCAACATTTTTATCCGATTTTTTTCGATGTTTTTCACGATAGAATAGCCATTTTTCAGTATGTTTTGGATTTTCTAGTGCTAAATTGGTGGGGTGAAAACCAGAAATTATTTTCATTGTAAATTTGATTACAGGGATTACCTTTTAAAAATTCAATCGTTGTTATAATCCATTTTTGATGATAGGAAATATTTGTAAATAATATTGGTGGAAATCGATGATTATTTGTATTCATTTGTAATTGATTTGTAATTAAACCTAATACACGATAACCACCATCTAATGATGAACAAATTAATGGTGAACCATGATCACCATTAAATATAGCTAATAATGATGATTGTTCTGGACCAATACAAAATGTTTCTTTTGGTCTATATTCATCATTATAATATCTTAAACAAATATCATTATTATCAATAATTGATAATTCATTCATAACCGGTATATGTATTGAATGTAATGAACCATATGGTTTTTGTAAAATTTCATTTTTTAATTTTTTATCCAAATTTTTTAGCTGTTCTTTGGTTGGATAACCATAACCAACTATTGAACATTGTGTTAAATCTAAACGTTCAAATACTTGATTATATTCATTTTTTGGTAAAAATTGTGGATATAATGATATATTATTTGATGATTGTTTATTATCTGGTTGGTTTTTTGGTTGTTTATTTTTATATTTAATCAATGCTAAATCATTTTTAAATATTAAATCATTATAATCATTATGAATACCAATTAGATCGAGTTCATGTGATTGACAACCACCATGATGAATATTATTACAATTAATAAATATACGAAATTCTTTCATTTTACGACGAATTTTTGTACCATCCGATTTAGTATGTTCAAGACATTGTGCTGCAGTCATAACAATATCATTACCAATCATAATACCTGAACAAAATAAATCACCCGATTGATAATCAATTAATGCTGCCATAAATGGCCATTGTTTCAAAATTTGATTATGTTTATCATCATTATATTCTAAAGTTATTTGTTGAATCGGGGGTTTATTTTTCGTTAACATCCATACCATATTGATCATTAATATTATTGCGTAGAAAAATGTTAATATTTTCATTGCCTGGCCAGTATTTTTTAACACACACAAACACACACTGAGAAATTACAAATATAAAATACAAGAAAAAAAATAAAAAAGAGAATTATTATTTTTTTTTATTTTTGAGTGAAATGAAAAGTCGACTTTTGTATTTGTTTGGTTAACAAACAAGATTCGAAAATTAAATTAAATTTCATTTCAAATATTTGGCGCCATCATTTTGATTGATTAATACCGAACATGCGCATAACAATCTCCGATTAATTTCGTAAAGCATTTTTGTTTCTGCATGCAGATAATTTTTCTGCGGAATATCACCACCGAAATCGATTGTCGCGTATACCGTGTGCTTCAATATAATATAATGCACAAACACATAAATCAAATGATAGTCACAATGAAATAACGTAAACAGAATTTATCTAAATTGTTTTGACAATCCTTATCATTATGGAATGCTTCTACCCTTTAACGTTGTCCCAAAATGTATGTTTACGAATGTAATTGTGACTATAACCTTGAATAAGAAAAAAAGTGTCGTGTTTTTTTTTGCTATTATTATTTTTGGGTAAAAAATTTTATCGTTTTTTTTTGTTTGGTTTGGTTAGTTCCCGTCGGGTTAATTTGATTCATTTTTCCATCATCACCATCACCACCACCAATCATCAAGCATCATCATCAATTTTAAAAACTTTTCAAATGAAATTCAAACAAAAAACGAAAGAAAGAAAGGGCAATGTGTGACACTGGGAAAGAATTTTTTCTTTCTTTCGTTTAGAATTTTTTTTTTGTTCAAAAATTTAATTTAATTTAATCAATTCAAATTGTGATCATTCAGTTTCGACAAAACAAAACAAAACAAACGAAAAAATGAATTTTTGTTTCGAATAGAATTTCAATTTTGCTTCTGATTCAATTTAAACAACAACAACAAAAAATCTAATCACACTGCAGTTGAATTGTGGATCAGCAAAACATTCGACGAATTTGAACGAAAAAAAAACCTTGAAAAAAAGATCAATTTCCAATCGAATAACAACAACAACGTGAAGATCTTTATATTTTGAAGATTCAGAAGATTCATTGAAGAGAATTGAAGAAAGAAAAAAAATGTCAACAACATATGTAACCGATGAATCGGGTACAAAATTTATAGCCAGTTCACAACGTCCTGATGGTTCATGGCGTAAAGCTCGTCGTGTAAAAGATGGTTATGTACCACAAGAAGAAGTACCAATCTATATGCCCAAAAGTAAACGTGAACAACAACAAAAAAGGCCTTCCAAACCATTATCGGCTAATGCTCAGGTAATTTTTTAAAAAGAATTTTCCAATTATCTTAAATCGATTCCTGTTTTTTGTAGCCATTTTATCATATGCCTCGTATTGAAATGGAAATGCGTACAGTTACCTTGGAACCTGATGTATTGACGCCATTAAATAAAACTTCCGGATCATCATCATCATCATCATCAAAAACATCATCAATATTAAATCAAAATCAACAATTTAATAATTTTGATTTTGATCAACAATTAGATCAAAATATTTACAATACAACAAATAAATCGCCATCATCATCATCATCATTATCAACAACAACAACAACATTGTCCAATGAATGGAAAGTGGTCAAATCGAAAAGCTCATTACAATCAAAAAATGATAATATAGTTGATTGTGGTTCATTATCATCTCAAATATCTCAACAACAACAACAACCAATGGCTGTAAATGAATGTGGTCAACCAATAGCAACCGACCCAGTTAAACGATTAAGAAATTTAAAGAAAAAATTGAAAGAAATTGAAACATTAATACTAAAAAATCCATCCGAATTGGAAAAAGAACAATTACAAAAAATACAAAGACATGAAGAAATTGTTGAACAAATTGAACAAGTGACTAAATTGATTGAACAACTTTGAAGTTTTCTTTTTTAAATTTAAATTTTAATATTCACTTGTTGTTGGCTGTAATTTGTTCATTGATCAATCAATAAAACCAATCCATCCATTTGATCCCAAAGTTTTTCAATGTTGCAGGATGTATATCAATTTTTTTATTTTGTCCCTGAATTTTGTTTGAAAAATTTGATTTCATTTTTTCAAATCAAAAATATTTTTGCTTTTTTTTCGTTCAAATTATCATTCTCCCCCCCGCAACATTTTATTTTTATTATCTTCCCTTTCCCCCTTCCATGAATTATATTTGATAATTTAATTTTAAAAAAATTCAAGATTTTGTTTCTTTGTGAATAAATTTCAAAATTTTAAAATTAAAAAAAAAATTTCAAAACATTTCACAATGTACTGGTATTTATGAATTGATCATCATTATGATTATATTGAAAAAGAAAAAAAATGGTTGTCTATACTGAAAAACATACCGCTACCCCTGCCGCTATACATTGGAGCCAGGTTTCGAATCATATTTTACCGATTCATTTTCTTCAATTAACGTTGACCTCATTCAATGTTTGCTTACTTAGCATCTGTGAACCACTACTACTGTTTATTTACCCTAAAAACAACAACAAGTGTTGTAGCAGTATTAAGTATCGATATCGAAAACCCGAACCTGCTAAATTTTGTTGTTGTTGTTGTTGATCTTTGGATTCTTCTTTCGGGATATTTTTGTCATTTTTTTTGTTTGTTGTTGTTAGAATAAAGTACCGCTATCTCGGAATTTATTATTTAACTTGACGAAAAAGAAGAAGAAGAAGAAACAAATATTTAATGTTGCTGTTGGTCGAGAACAAGATTTTTATTTTGGCTCCATCAAATGATGTGGTGGTGGTGAAGATGTGAATCTAGTTTTCCATAATATCAATAATGATAATGATAATAATAATATCAACGCGCTTATTGTGACACGAAAACGATTATATCGGCTAAAGACTTGTTGTTTGTTGTGATTTTTGTTGATCATTGAATAATATCAGTTCATTATTTATTTTTGAATAATTTTTTTTTTAAATTTTGTTTATCAATTTGGATCATTGATTTTCTATCTTCGTCAACGTCTTCAGTGTTTGTGTATCGAATGATGTGAACATTGTTTATTTATATCGTCTTCGTTCATTGAATTTTTTGATGAAATTTATTCATTTTCAACATGATGTTTAAAATTGGAAGAATTTTTTTGTCCAACTTGACCGGTCATTGTGGATAGATCCTTCGATTATTTGTTTTTATTGCAATTAACAATTTTCTCATTTGAAATCAACATTTTTTAATTTAATTACACTGAAAATTTCAAAACAAACAAACAAACAACAACAATGGAACAACAAAGTACTGCATTCGAATCGACAGCTAATTCGATTGTTGTTGTTGGTGGTGGTGGTGATGGTCGTAAACAACAATCACATCTTTTAAATGATGATAATGATGATGATCATAATTCAAATTCATCATTGAATAATGATAATGATGATGATGATGATTATTCACCAAAATGTGATTCGATTAATGGTTCCAATGCTTCAATATCACCACCAATACCACCACCATCAACGTTTGAAACAATCGAAATCGAACAGCCATCGATAAATCGACGAACAAGATCGATGATGAAAACAAAAAAACAATTGGATGATACATCGAATGGTCATCCAGTTTTGAATGAAGAAAAAAATGGTGAACCACCACCAGCACCACATGATGATGATTATGATTCATACGTAATGGATGATAATGATGATGACGATGATGATGATTATGAACCTGAAGAATCAAAAGATTATGATGATGTTGATTATGTGATTGGTGGTGATGTTGATCGTACAGTACGTTCATCTAAATCATCACAAAATTCATCCATAACAACAACAACATCGACATCATCATCAACATTGAAAAATAAGAAACGAAAATCATCATCATCATCAAATGATAAACGTAGTAGTAAAAAATCAAAACCAAAAGCAACAAATCAGGAAACGGTAGTGAAATCTTCTTCTTCAGGAAAAAAATCACAAAAAACAAATTCAAATGTAAAAAATTGTATAAATCAAAATATCAATCAGAATTCTTCATCATCATCATCATCATCAGGAATGTCAAATAATTTTCGTCATCTATTTCAACCAAATGAACATGAATTCAAACAGATATTTCCACCCGAATTATTAACTCGGTTATTTAAAATGACTATCGAATCAAATTCACCTGAATCACCTATTTTGACATTAATAAGGTTAGATTTCTTTTTGCTTTTGTAATTTTTCGTTTAAATTATATAATTTACATTCGTAAATAGATTGTCACAAGTTTGTGAATATTGGCGACAATTAATCATTACAAGTCCAGCATTATGGTCAACGATTGATTTAAGTTCATTATCGGAATCACGTTTTCCAATGGACCGGTTTCGACGTTTACATCAGGAAAATCGCCTATTTCAATCGGTACAACATATTGATCTATCCAATTGGAAAGCCGATATGGCTAAAAAAATGTTAGAATTTTTAACAGATTGTTCACAATATGATCTCCATTCATTAAGCATTCGTCGTTGTCGCAATATAACAGCACCATTTCTTCAATCTGTCATTGCTCATGCTGGTAATCTTCGTTTATTAAATATATCCGGTATCACTGTATGTTTGATTACGATGTTAATTTGAAACTTTTTAAATAAAAGGATTTATATTTTTCTTGCAGGCATCACAACAACATAACTGCCAGAATCCATTCCAAACTCCATCGTTCAGACCATTAATTGAACGATGCGGTGAATCATTACGTTCATTGTTTATGTCAGAAAATATGATGACATCGTTTCCTACCTGTTTCTACATGGTTTTGGTAAGATTCTTTTCCCTTTAAAAAAAATCATCAAATCTAAAACTAATTTTTACTTTAGGAATCATGTCCAAATCTTGAAGTGTTAGATATATCAAACGTACATTCATTGGGATCTCGTTGTTCCACTATTCCGATCGATAAATTTCAACAAAGTTGCCCAAACATGCGTGTATTACGTGCAGCAAATATTGCATTTCAACCGATCGGTTTTGGATGTACGACCGATGGATGGCCACGACTTGAAGAACTAAGCATACCATTTAATCTTGATTTCATGGTTTCGGCAGGTCATTCGGATCTTGTTCTTGAACAATTGACAAAATCATCGGAAAATCTAAAATTATTAGATATTCGTGGTTCACCGAATATAACACCACGTGGCCTTGTGAAAATACCAGCATGGTCATTAAAACATTTATCAATTTCAAATTGTCCAAAAATGCAAGATGAAACTCTTGGTATGGTCTTTCAAAAGGTAAATATTTTCGTTTTCAATTGTTTATCAGTTAATTTTTTTTAACAAAATCAAATTCAACAGTGGAATAAATCATTGGTTGATGTTGATCTCTCATGGAATAAATCCGAAACCTGTATCGATGAATGTGTCCGTTCGATTTGTGATCTATCATCAGATGATGTTAAATTATGTACAATCGATTTACGTGGATCAGCAATATCATTAGAATCATTAAGACGTTTAATTTTACATTGTGGTGAACGTTTAAAATCGATTGATCTACAATCATGTCGTAGTTTACCACGTGGAATGAAACGTTTATTTCAAGGTGAAGAATTTCAACGTTTACGACAATTAATGTTGGATGGACGTTGTGATGATTAAAATGATATTTTATTGTATCGATTGATACACCAACTAACTATCGAATGAAGAAAAAAAATATCACCTTATATATCGTCGTTGCCTTTTAATCGTCTTCAAGATTCATTTCCTTAATATATTTTCATTTTCATTTTTTTTCCGGTGAAAAAAAATCTCATCTTTGGTTTTCTACGTTTCTCTTCGAATCATTTTTTTTCTTTGGTCATCACAAACTTTGATTATTCGATTGAAACGTAACAATCTTTCAATGGTTTAATTATATATCATACAATTACATTGCAATGGACATTTTGAAAAAAAAAATATTCACATCTTTATGCTGCAATCTTCATTATTATCATTATCATCATCATCATCATTCATTCATCATTATATGATTTGTATATTTTTTTCTGAAATATACCATTACTATTATCATTATTTTAAATTTATATAATAAAAAATACCATATGAAAAGATGAAATGAAAATAAAATTTTGTTCAAAAAATTACAAAATTTGAATGACCAGTATGGCCATCTATCGGCCAGAATTTTCATGATTATTCAATAATAACAAATAAGCACGTGTTTCAATGTTTTGCTTTTTTTGGATTGACAAATTCATTTTGCTGTTTGAAATTTTGTTTATTTTTCTTCTTTTTTTAAAAAAACCCATGGGCAAGGTTTGTCTATTAGAGATCGAAATTAGAGAAAAAAATGATTAATAGTTTTTTTTAAAAAAATCAGAAAAAAATACAAATAAAAGTCACCCGTTTAGAGGAAAGAGAAATTGATTTCGATCTAATCAATTCGGAATTTCCATTTGCCAATGCAATACGTAGGATATTGTTAGCCGAAGTACCAACAATGGCTATTGAAAAAGTTCATCTTTATCGTAATACATCGGAATTACCGGATTTTGCTCTCTGTCACCGGTTAGGATTGATACCGATCAAAGCAAATAATAAGGAATTTGAAATGAGAAATTCAGGTAATTCAGGAATATCATGTCAATGTCAAGAATAACCTTTTCATAATAATCAATGATTCTTCGTTTACAAGATGAAGAAACCGATAGAAATACAATTTATTTATCCATAGATGTTCAATGTCCAGTTGAATATGGTGAAAATCTTCATGTACATAGTGATTCAATACAATGGCAACCTATTGGTGATCAAGCCGAAAGATTCAAAACCGATCCAATACGGCCAGTAGATCTGGATATTTTACTGATGAAATTGGCACCAAGTCAACGAATCGATGCAAAACTTGAATGCCATAAAGGTATTGGAAAAGAACATGCAAAATATTGTCCAGTTGCTGCTTGTTTCTATCGATTTGTAACCGAATTTTATTTCGATCAATCAAAACAACTTGATAAAAATGAATTAGAAACATTACGAACATTTTTTCCACCTGGTTATCTGGATTTTGATCAAATTGATGAAACGAATGGATTTCCTCGTATCCGTAATAATCGTTTTAATCGTAGTGATTTTACAATGCAATCATGGAATCAATCATTACGTGAAAAAATTATATTCGAAACAAAAAATAATACGCTTGCATGTAAGTTTGATCCATTTTCGCTCCATATTCAGCTGCAATAAATTAAATTTTTTTTTCAATCAATTTCTTTAGTCACCATTGAATCAATTGGTATAATCGAACCATCCGAATTGGTCATTCAATCAATCGATATATTAAAATCAAAATGTATAAAATTTATTAAATGTATCAAACAAAATATGTGATAAATGAATAAAATTGGTTGATTTATTTTTTGATGTTGATTTTTTTGATGTTTCTTGATTGGTTTAAACAATAACAGCCTTTTTATCAACAACAATACTAATGATTGAAAAACAATCACAATGAATTGAACATTTACATTGAATTTTTGGTGTTGAACGAATTTGTATTGTACCGATAACAGTTGAACAACCTGGGCAATGTAATTGATAATCAGTATCCATTTCACCAAATGTTGATTTAATTGTCCATTGTAATGGTTCAATTATATATTGATTACAATCAAAATTTGATTGTTGATTTGATGATGATGGTGGTGATGATGATATTTTATTACAAGTTAATGAATCAAAATCAGTTAATTTCATACAATTTTTTCCAGAAATTTCCCATAAAAATATATTCCTTCGTACTAAAAAACGTATTGTAGTTGGATATTGAAATAATAAACGATTTGATTCTAGTATATGAATATCATTGAAAAGTTTATAAGAACATTTTCGACAACGATACCATTGTTGTTGTTGTTGATTATCATTTAGTCGTTCATATTGTTGCATCATATACCAATATTTTTCCAACATTTGATGTACAGTATCAATGGATAAAAATGGAAATATTGTTTTATATAATAAAAAATGACGAAATTCTTTATTCTGTATATCCAATCGATAGTTCATTTGATTATATAGATTTAATTGATAAACAAACCCATCATTTGGATTACAAATGGAACGTTTCGTACGAACAAATATTAATGTATCTTGTGTTGAAAGATGCCATTTATTCATTAAAAATGCAACAACAATTGTTACACTACGTGATATACCCATATGACAATGTATAAGAATATTTTCATGACGTACATTTATTGCTTGATTAATAAAATGTATTGTTTCAGGGAAAATTGTCAATAAATCTTCGGTTGGTTTATCGAAACGTTCATATTGACGATTTTGTATATCGTATAGATAAAATTTTGGTAATAATTTTGCTTCATGTGCATTGATAACACTTAATACATGTTTTATTTGTAATTCTTGTAATAATGATATATCACGAGCATGTTGTAAAGTACCAAGATATAATTGTGGTATTATTTTACTTGGTATGTTCATAATTTTTTTTTTGAAATCGAAGGCACAATTTGGAATTTTCGACCAAATTTTAAATCCAAAAAAATTTCCAAAATTGAATTAATAAATGTCGAATTGAAATTTTGATTCAACAATAATGTTATCCACGTATTTTTATAAGGAAAATCGTGAAAATCTTTTCCATTAAAATCAAGTGTTTTTGTAAATTGAAAGAACCCGAAAAGATGTACAGTAAATTTATTGAAATTATTAATCATTTTCTTGATGATATTCAAGCAAATGAACCATATGTTTTACGACGATTAATACCAATGGCCATTGATAATCAGGATAATTATTGTATACAACCATTATTGTTTAGTAATAAAACTAGACAAACGAATTATCAAATTCAAAAAAAATTACAACATTATTTAAAAGAATTGGATAAAAACAACGATGACGATGATGATTATTCCGAAGACGAAGATGATTATTATGATATTTATGAAAATGATGATGATGAGGAAAAAGATTCGAAATCGAAAGAGTCATTCATATATAAGGTTATTGTCAAAATATCACGGTAATCTTTTTGTTTTTCCTAAATCAATTTTTTTTTTTTTGAAAAAAAATCAATTTTAATCCGATTTCTTTCTTGACATTCAACAAAAAGCAAATGTGAAGAATTTTATTGCCATAATAATACTATTATTGGTCCTGTTATTAAACAATGGAAACAACATTATCATCAACAACAATCATCCAAATTGATTGATAATGATCAACAACAAAAACAATTAATCCAAGAATTTTATCGTCATATTGGTGTTTGGTTAATTGTTATTGATTATCATCGACAAAGATTTGAACGTATTAGTCATATATTAAGATGGATTTGTAGCCATATTCATATACCATATCGTATATCGACTGAATCATTATTCGATGATGATGATGAAAACAACGACGAAAACGAAAACAACATTAATGATAATTATATTCATAATGATTTTGCATTACGTGTATCAATATCGATTGTTTATCATTTAATTCAATACCGCCTATATTTACTTGATCGTTTTTTTATTTGTTTAAAGGAAATACAAAAATTATCATCAAAATTAATACAGCCATCATCATCGGTATCATCCGGTCAACAGCTAAGGATGATAATAAATACTACCACTACCAATGCTTTGACTGCTGCTGCTACTACGAGCCGCGAGTAACGAGTAATAAAAAAAAATTGTAAACAAATATCCGGTGGTGGTTATAAACCAAGAAAAAAAAATTGGAACAAAAAATAACCATCACCATTACAAAACAAATATATTTCCTATTCGATTTAACAACAATAAAAAAAAATCAAACAAAAACACCACCCAACAAACAAATCTCTCATGCCGGCATTTACAGGATTTAAATCAAACCAAACCAAACCAAACCAATTCACCTGCCACACCATTATTAGAGAATATCCTCTGTTGGTTTAAAACATTCAATGTCCTAGTTCACACGATGAAGATCTGCCTACCTTTGTAACAGACCATAGGTCCGCTACAATGACCTATGAGGACCTTCTTCAGCCCATGACATCATTGAACGCATCAATGATTATGGGATGAAATACTGACCTGTTATTCATTCTGAAAATCATCAAATGTGATGATCATTCATAACTTTGTCGGCTGTGTGTTTTTTCCATCAGTAAAATTCTACTGAACACAAAAAACAAGAAAAAACGGATTTTTTTTTCATTCGAATTCGATTCTTTTTTGGAAAAAAATCGTTGATTCCGGATTTTCAATTTTGTTTTTTTCAATCATCATTATCGTCATCATTGCACCAACGATACATACTTCATTTCCCTTGAATCAATATTGTTGTTCGAATGAAACCACCACCATTATCATCATACATTTTTTTTCAATCACAACACCGGATGATCAATAACAGTAATGAACAAGCAATAGCCATTCAATATTTGAATTTATCATTCAATCATCATCATTATATTTCAACCAACGAATCAAAGAACTAGATTTGTTTTGTTTTGTTTTGTTCATTTTCAGTTAATAAGGCGATCTGGACAGTTTTTTAGTTGTTGACAGTGTTTGTCGTTTTATTTTCTGAAAAAAGAACGTTGCTGCTGCTGCTTTCAATGAATTGTTTTTCAATGTCAAGTTTTTTTCTGTTTATTTGAACATTTGAAAAATTGATTGATCAATTTTGTTGTTGTTTGTTTGTTTCATCGATTAATCCTTTTTTTCTTCTAATTCAAAAAAAATAATGTTGTTTTCAATCAATTATCATCATATATCGATTGTTTGGACAATTCTTACCTTTGTTGCTGGTGTCCCGAATACATTATCCATTCGTCATCATTTTGATGATAATCATCAAAATGATCATTATATCATTGAATCACCACAATCACAACCATCACCACCATCATCAATATCAAATTCGAATGAAATTAGTGTCTATATGCCAACATGGACAACAATATCACCGAAAATTGTTCTTATATCACATCAAATCGATAGTGGTAGTAATAGCGATACAATCGATATTTCAGCAAAAAGTACAATACATTTACGTTGTACCGGACAACGAAAACTTTATTGGACATTTCCGAATAATCGAGTAAGTTGAATAAAAAAAATTACAAATTACAAAATTATAAATTCCATTACAGCTAGAACCATTTGAACAATCGGCAAATATCAGTATAATCAACAGTTGTGATTATGATGATGGTATTAACGATGATAATAATGACGATGATGAATCCGATAAACGTAACTCTAATCATCATCGTATTGATTTTTTATGGACAAATAAATGTAAAAGTGATGTAATTATCTATGATGTTCAATATTATATGACTGGATTTTATTTATGTCATTATAATCAACAACAACAATCAGAATCGACGATTAGTAATGATGGAAATCATCAATTAACTGAAATTTATAATCAACCATCATCATCAACAACAACAAAAAAAATATCACATGATTCAATCGATAAAATATTTATATTTATAAATGATCCTGAACATTTAATTGTACCATATGAAAATGTTGAAGAATATATGTTTTTAGCATTATTTCAATCATATCCGGCAACAATACCATGTCGTCCAACATATTCAAAAGCTGAAGTTACATTATGGAAAGAATCGGATAATAATCAGTATCAGTATCAATTAATACAGATAAAACCAAATTCATCATTAGGTATTACATATGATCCACGTAAAGGTTTTCATTTTGATTATCCACGTTGGGATAGTAGTGTTTTGGAATGTCGTTATCGTATTAATATTACTGATAATAACAACGGACAATATCAACAATATGAAGCTAAATCAACAATTAGTCTTCATTGGTCAAGTAAGTTCAATGTGCTCTCTAATTATGTTCATTTAGAAATTTATTTTTTTGTTTTGAGCCAAAAAAAACAAACAAAATTTTTTTATTCAATCTTCAAATCAACAATGTTTATGAAAATACAAAATATTATCATCAACGAAATCATCATCAACAAAATTGCTAAAAATAGGCTCATTTGAAAAGCAAAACAAAATAGAAAACAAAAAGAAGTCAACATTTCCGTTTCGCCATATATGCGCTTTTGTTTAGTTTTTTTGTTTTGTTTCATATATCGAATGATTGTTGACGATCATTCGATTGTTGTTGTTGTTGTTGATTGATCATATCCATATTGTGCATTTCAAAATGAACCGATTTATCATAGCCAACCAGACGTTTAAGAAAAAGTCCTTAAAACAAAAAAAAAATAATTATTATTATTATTAAATCAAATTAGGGAGAAAAGAAAACATACCAATATCATGAATATTATGTTGTGGTTGATAATGATCAATCCAAATAGCAATTTTTATCTGTGTATTACGATTACCACCAACAATACCACAAATACGTTCACAAATCATTTCATATTGATTACCAATAATTAACATACAGAATTCAGTCCACATTTCCATTGCATATTGTTTATATTCACCATCTTTATTGATTGTAAATACAAAACGGCCACCATTACGATTACGTGGATCTTCCCAAATTGGTCGTATACCATATTTGAACAGGGAATAATTACAACCATGATGTGTATCGGTCAACGGTAGAACACGATCAAAAACACCCCAAAAACTTTCAACAGTTGAAAATGTAGCCACATCAATTTGTGAATGTTCCCAATCAAAATTCGGTCCAAATTTTAGATACCAAAATGTCCAACTATGACGTAAAAGATGTTCACCATCATTCACTGGTATTATATAATTTAATCGAATTTTTGATTCAATTTTTTTCATATCATTTCCATTACCATTATCACCACCATCATTTTGTTGAATTGATAATAATTTTTGATCATCATTCATTTTACCAGTGTCATTTGTTTTATTCGAAATTGTTTTATTCTGTTGTTGTTGATGATGGTGATTTTGATGATGTTGATGTTGATGGTGATTATGATGGTGATGATGATGATGCGAACGATAATTATGATTTCGATGATGATGATGATGATTACGATTATGAATCTGTCTTGTAACAATCATTGAAGATGATAATTGTTGTTGGCCATTATTATTGGCAGTTAAATTCGACATTTTTTTTTTCTCTTAAATTCCTGTGTTGTAATGTTGTTTGTTACAAAGAATGAAAAAAAAATTTCAAGAAAACTTTTCTTGGCTCATTTTTTTTATTGTTCCCATAAATGTTTCTGATTCGAATTTTTTTTTTATCGAAAGTTTTTCCTTCTATTCGATTAATTTAATTTAATTTACGAATTTTTCTTTTTGCTTTTTACAATTTTTTTTCAAAGTTCTACCAATCGAATTACATCCAATTATTGATGATCAACAAGCACGTCATATTTTCATCAACGATACATTTACATTGAGGTGTTTTGTTCATATTGATATTGGTGTTATTATTGTTGTTGATTGGGATTATCCTCAACAACAACCAAATCAAACAAAACGAATCTTAAAATCATCAGCCGAAACAACCAGACAATTAGTTAATAATAATAGTTATGATACAGTTGCTATTAATATAACTGTTTTTAATGCAACCAAAAATGATGAAGGTATTTATCGTTGTAATGCAACCGATGGTAATGGTCGTACATTTTCGGCAACCAAACGTATTGTTATATTCGGTATGTTTACATTTTTTTTGGTTTGATTTTTGTTTTTAATTAATAATTCTGTTTGCTTTAATTTCCAAAGATGAACATCTTGTATCATCGGTGAATTTTACAAAAGATTTTCATGAACCAATCATTGGTGAATGCGATCATGATATTCATTTTACTATTCAAGCATATGCATTTCCTGATATAAGTTTTATTAATCTTTTCTGGTATAAAGATAATAATCCATTACTGATCAATACAAATGATTCACATATACAAATGAATTTAATGAATTTTTCGGATGAAAATCAAACACAAATTACATTGTATATTATATCGGCTCGTCCATCCGATAGTGGTGTGTATACACTTGTTGGACAAACATCATGGTCATCATCACAACAACAACAACAACAAAATGAATCAATAACCAATAAAATTTCAATACCTGTTTATATTGAAGGTGATATAGAAATTTTAATTGAAAATCATCAAAATTTTTATCAACTTAATCATACATATGAATTATTATGTAAAAGTTATGGATATCCACATCCATCAATACAATGGCAATGGCATCCATGTGAAACAGTTCATTCATGTTTGAATGATGATGATCATAATGATGATAATCAAATCAAATGGTATAATATTACAACTTCATCTTCGATGTTAAATCAAGATAATGATGCTAAAATTATTCGAATCAATAATGAAACTATTGTTCCATATTTAAATAAATCACGTTTAGCATTAAAAGCTCAACAATCTGGTGTTTATCGATGTTTATCTACATTGATCAATATGAACAACGATAACAATCATACGATTGTAAAACATCAAGAAATACCATTTATTGTAATGGATGATGAAGATTTATTTAAAATTACATCATCAACAAATGAACCAACAGTTAATGATACAATAATATTAACATGTAAAGCAAGTGTTTATCGTTATTCACAATTATGGTGGGTTAATACACGTTTGGATACTGATGTTATTAATCCAGTGAATGTAAATACAATGTTGGAACAGAAAAATCAATCTAATGATCCATTAATTGAATCAATAAGTTTATCGAATGATCAAAATGAATATTCTCTGAGTTCAACATTAATATTAACATCGGTTACATTGAATCATAGTTCATTGTTTACATGTGAAGCAGTTCTACTATTTGATGCATTAAAAATTGAAAGAAAAGAATTTTTCCTAGATGTTAAAGAAATAACATCACCAATAATTATTGAAACAAATATGAATGAATCGATTATTGAAGAAGAATATAATTCACAAACAGAATTACGTTGTTATATTGAAGGAAGACCACGACCAAAAATTGAATGGTATCGAAATGATCAACCACTACAATTTGATCATCATGATTCTGGTGTAAGAATTTATGATAAAGGACAACGAATTGTTTTTACACGTTTATTGGCAAAAGATTCTGGTCTTTATGTTTGTCGTGGTAGAAATCGTGGTGGTGAAGTTACCTGTGCTGTTTTGTTAAAAGTAATCGGTAATATGGATCATACATCAATAGATCTATTACCTATTATTGTTTATTCAATAATGGGTGCTATTACAATTATAATGGCATGTTTGATTGGTAAACGTATTCGTGATGAAAAATTACAACGACGTGAATTGGAATTCTTTTCGAAAACATTATTCGAACAAGGACAGATGCAATTATTTAATCCGGATATGCCATTGGATGAACAAATTGATTTATTACCATATGATTCACGTTTTGAATTTCCAAAAGAACGGCTTATATTAGGACGTACATTAGGACAAGGTGCATTTGGTCGTGTGGTGAAAGCACAGGCAATCGGTTTGGATGAATCAGATGAATCAGAATCAACAACTGTTGCCGTAAAAATGCTTAAAGAACGTGCCGATTCTAATCAACGTAAAGCATTGATGGCTGAATTGAAAATACTCATACATTTAGGACGACATTTGAATATTGTTAATTTGTTGGGAGCGGTGACAAAAAATCTTGTCAAAGGAGAATTATTAGTTATTGTTGAATATTGTCAATTTGGAAATCTAAGACATTATCTTATTGCTAATCGTGATAATTTTATTAATCAATTGAATCCATTGAATGGGAAAATAGATCGATCGATTATTCGAAATGGTGTTGGTATTCAACAACAATCGTAAGTTGTCATTTTCCTTGTAAAATTCATTTTAACTCTTTCTTTTTTTTTGTCCATACAACCACAGTGTTTTATATCAAAATGTTGATATTCTAACACCATCAACACCGGATTCACCAAATAATAAAGATCGTTTTGATTATTTTATTGCAAATAATAATAATGGTTGTAATGGTATTAGTTATGTTGATCTATTACATCGACAACAACAACAATTAACAATGACAAATAGTAATGGTGATTATATTAATACAACAAATTCTCAATACACAATCAATAATGGCATAATGAATCAGGTTGTATCGAATACAACAGGTATTGCTTATTATAATGCTAATTATGGTAATCTTGGTATCGGTAATTCAAATAATAAAAATTCAAACATTGGAAATGGTCAACCATCAGGAAAACGTTCATCAACATCGAATCGATTTCAACGACAATGGTCATCAATATCACAACGAAGACAAGGTCGTACAGTTACAACATCCGATTTAATTTGTTGGGCATTTCAATGTTCAAGAGGTATGGATTATCTTACAATGAGAAAGGTATGTTATGTTCATTTTGTTTGTGATCAAAAGATTCAATTAATCCGTTTTCTATGATGACCCATTTTAGTTAATACATCGAGATTTAGCTGCACGTAATGTATTATTAGCAAGTAATAATGTAGTGAAGATTTGTGATTTTGGATTGGCTAAAGATGTTTATAAATATGATAATTATATAAAAAAAGATGATGGTCCATTACCAATAAAATGGATGGCAATCGAATCGATAAGTGATAAAATTTTCACATCAAAAAGTGATGTTTGGTCATATGGTATATTATTATGGGAATTGTTTACATTGGGTAAAACACCATATCCAGGTGTTGAAATTGATGAAGAATTTTATAAACGATTAAAAAATGGTTATCGTATGGAAAAACCGGATTATGCAAGTGAAGAAATGTAATTATAAAAAAAGTTTTTTTAAAGAAAATTGTTGATCACACAAATCATTATTAATTATCATTGTGTTACTTATATAGTTATGAACTTATGTTACAATGTTGGAATGCTAATCCAAATGATCGGCCAGATTTTTCCGATATAGCCGATTTAGTTGGCGAAATGTTGGATGATAAAACGAAAAAGGTAATAATCTTTTGTGATCAATCAATGTCTTTAATAAATCTTTTTTTCTTTTCTTTTTGTTGTTGAACAAAAAAGCATTATATCGAATTAAACAATCCATATCTTGAGATGAATGAACAGATATTAGGAACAAGTGATTATCTTAAAATGTCATCATCATCGAATAATGGTAGTGCTGGTGGTTGTATTGGTGGTGGTGAACAATCGATAATAATAATGGCCGAAAATAATGATGATAATCCAACAATGATTGATGAATGTGAATATGAAACAAATATTTCACAATTAATAACGGATCATCAACAACAACAATCGAATGAAAAATTATCGATTATAATGGCCAATCATTCAAATTCAAATGATATTTTGGTTGATGATAATAGTAAGCTAACAACAACAACATCATCATCAATCAAAATGATTAGTAACAATAATAATGATAACGATAATAATGATAATGGTGACAATATAATCGAAATGTCCATTTTAGAACGTTCATTAACCAAAACATCCAATAATAATGATATGATGAATATTATTCAATATAATGGCCATCATTATAATCATCATCATCATTATAATAAAGATGCTATAATGACAACGAATAATATGATTTATGATAATTTGACTACTATTTAACCAAAAGAGAAAAAAAAATTCAGAAAATATTTTCATAATTTACAACAATCATTATCAAACACATCGATATCATTTGACTTTTTCAAAAAAAATCTAGTCTTTTTTTCTGCATACACACACACAGAGAACAAAACATTGTTCAACCCTTTTTTCAAATTCATTGTAAATAGGTAACAGATATTTTTTTTAACATTAATCATAATCATAAAATTTTGTTCAAAAAAAAATGATAAGAATGAATTTTCATAAAATAAAAAACATTTGAAAATCAACATTGGTTTTGATTAGTGCCATCAGGTGGCGCGATTTTAATATATCCTTACTATTCGAATTTGGATTTTTTTTCGATGAAAGCAAAAATATCGATTATGATTTTTATCATCAAACATGATTCAAGTTTATTAATCGAAAAAATTGGGAAGAAAAATAACGATGGGAATCAACAGAGAACAAACGAAAATCAAAAAGCGCTTTGAAATTATTCGGTTTTTTCAATGATAACAACAACAAACAAGGTTCAAAGGTTAAAATCAAATCAAATCGATCAAATTGAATTGAATTTGTATTTGATTTGATTTTAGGTCTTGTTTAGTTGTTGTTTTTTCACATGATGATGATCATCATCATTACTTATTATTTGATCATTCAAAATTGAACATCATTATCATCTGAATTTTCTTTCTTTGAAATCTTTCAAATCAAAAAAAAGGCGGATTGAATGAATGTTTGTTTGTCTGTAACCATAAATAGTATCATCATCACAATCATCATTATATTAGATTTGGATTTTTTTTCGGGAAACAAAATTACTTTCAAAAATATTCGATATATCAAAAAGGGGGAAAATTGAATGGAAAAAAAACATGTAAAAAAAACTTGAAACATTTTTCAAATGAGCAGATTGAACATGTAATGTTGTTTGGTTGGTTGATAGAAAAAAACAAACATAACGAATATTATTTCGAATGTTTCGTATATCTATGTCATCATTGCGAATGAATGAAAAAACGAAAACATATTCGATCCATCAATCATCATTATCATTATTGTTTGATGAATTCTCGTATAATACAATTGAGAATGTGATCGAAAACAAAAAAAACAAAATCAAAATAAACAAATCGGAAAAGACGATGATGAAAAAAAAACAATAACAACAAAAATCGAATTTCCGCTCACTTTTTTTTTGTTTTGTTTTCGGAAATGAAAAGTTGTTCATAAATGATGTTATCGAATTTGTTTTCCGTTTTTTTGAGTTTTGATTTTGACTTTTAAAATTCTTCAAGATTTCCAATTACAAACAACAACGACAAATCTCATCAATCAAATTCATTGCTGATCTGTATCGCACATTATTTTCCACAATGTTTTTCCATTGTTGCAGCAGATGACATCGATGGATCTATTGACCTTGTTTTTTTCCCTATACATCAGCGGTTGATATTACCCCATGACGAAAAGCAAAAAAAAAACGAAATCGTCTCTCTTTCTAACATCTTTCATATTATAACCCCCCCTATGATAATTTTGAAAAGAAAACAACTAAAAATTTAATTTAAACATCATTTTTTTGTCAAGGGTTGACAAAATTTGGAGTACTGTACAAATTACAAAAATAATAATGGTGTTTAAAAAAAATTAGATCAGATTAGTCGAAATATAAGGTATAAGGTATAAGGATTTTAAGTTGATTTTTCTGATTACAAATTACAAAATTATGGTGTTAAATTAAATTATGTTTTTGAAAAATGATGTTGTTTCATTTCTGATACAATTGTCTTCAAAATTGGGAGTTTTTGGATGTCAGAGCAATTTGAATGCAGTCATCGGCGTTTAAGCGATTTCTGTTCTTCGTTTTTATGTTCATTATTAGACTGGAAAAGCCTTGTTCGCACAGATATGTTGTGCCAAACGGAAGCAATTTATTTATTAGTATACATTGTCAACACACAGTGTTTCAATAATATCCAATCTATCAGTAATTCGAGCCAGAATTTTAGAAATTTCTTCATTGTTAGCCATGTTAACGAACACGTGGCACTGCTACCAAATGTAAGAAATGATACATATTTTTGATATTAATTTCGGAAACATTTTTGCCAAATTTCTCATTGAACTTATCTTTAATTTTTTTTTCCAACCACCCCCCTTGGAATTCGTTGAAACAACTGAAATAATGTTGTATAAACACACATTGAATTGCTATTTGCAACTAATAACATTTTATTTTAACTGTTAACATTTTATAACAATATACGAATGTTCGATTTATAGAACTTAAATAGTTCTAACTGAATTATTTACATCAAGTTTCGCTTCGGGCAATGTAATCACTGAAAAAAGTGTATCTTCTTCAAAATTGAAATTTTTTTCGAGAAAAAAAATAGAAAATCAATATTTGATCAATTTAAGCGAAAAATTTTCTTCAAATTACATGTTTTTTTCTTCGATTATCAATCGAAAATTTGTTTGGTTTGTTTCAAAATAAAATACCAACAGGCAAACCGATTAAATGTCTGGTAATGTCATTCGATCATTGAAAATCAAATCTAATCACACAAGATTAGTAAAACTAAATTTAGAAAAATTTTATCTGGACGATTATTTTTGGCAATCGATTATGATTATTTGGCTTACATCATTTATTGACTTTTACCACAACGATCATCGATGATGATGATTATTAGATCAAATCGAATGTTCCCGAATTTCTACAGATTTAAAAGATTGTTAAATAAACAAACAAAAGAAAAGTAAAAGTGTTAACAATTTAACGATTATCATCATCATAATAATCGAAACAAAAACAATGATAACAACAAAAGGAATGAAAAGAGCCAAAATAATCGATTGTATCGCGCGATTACATTCGATTCGAATCGATTTTGAACATTCGAATCTAATCGTAATTCGAATGCTGATTTTTATAAATAAATAAATCTAATTTTGGGCAAAATTAACAGTTTTTCCTTTATTTGTAATTTTTACTTTTTGTTGTAATAAATTTTTTGATAGTTTTTTTCTGATGCTGAACAGCTATAATTATCATATCTATCATGATGATGATGATGATAATGATAATCGATTTTCAAAGTGTTGAATATCATTACCTTGAGTAGTTTTTGATCAATGTGTGAACAAACAAACAAACAAACAGATAAAAATTAATTATACGGTTTCAAACAAACAAAAAATTGTTACATTACTTTGTTCCAAATTTTTGTTCATTTTGTTTATTTGAATACAATTCCGTAATGAAACATTAAACACTTTAAACCTGTAGGGGTAATATGATAATTTTTCGTTTTTTTCTTCGTCAACCAAAAGGTGTGGTCATTCTGAAACATCTCTTGTCCTTTTCTTCCAAAAAAGATTCAAAAATTGGCCTTGTTCCTTTTTTTTTGGCCAAAAAAAATGAAAAAATCGTGATAAAAAGTGAAATGTTTGTTTCCTTCAAAATGGCAATTTTCATTTTGAATAATTGTCGCTTACAATGATCAATTCGATTCGATTTTTTTTTTGCTGCTAAATAATTTATTATTGATTTTAAATGAAATAAAACTTCGTTTTGTTTGAACAATCAGAAAGAAAAAGATTTCAATTTCAATTACAAATTAGAAATGAAAATGAAAGGTTTTTGCATTTTGGGATGTCATGGATGGAAGTAAGACACCACACATAGATGACGTGACCAATATTTCGAATGTTTTTTTTTTGGCGTTCGAATCTTTGAAATTGTAAATCGTGATTGTAAATTATTCATTCATTTCAAGATTATTTTGGTGCTAAAAATGGACATTATCATCATCATAATAATCATTACTTTTATTTCTTTGAAACATAATTCTCTCCCATTTTTTTCATTTGAATATTATCATGGTTTATAGCGATGAAGATGATAAGATAAGTGAACAGCAAAAGCAACAACAAAGTGAATGATTCAATCGATTGATTGAGCTGTTGTCATCTCTTATCGTTGTTGTCTTTCGCTGGACAATCCTTTATTTTTCTACTTTATTCATCTTTCTGATCACCATCATCATTATTATCATAAACATCAAAAAGGTTTGGTCATCATCATCTTGATGATTATCATCATCAAGATGATTGTATAATTCAACAACAACAACAATGTTTTAAGACCATCATCATTCATTCATTGATGATGGTAACAACAACAATTATGCAATCCATACGATGATTATTCATTCAATTCAATTCAATTCATTTCATTCGATAGATATTGATTTCAATCAACCAAAGCAAGCCAAAAACCTTATCCCATTATCAATTACAGAAGCTAAGTTTTTTTTGTTTTTGTTTCTCGCATTCGTTAGGAGAAAAAAAACTCGAAAGAAAAGATAACAATCACTCGTTTTTTTCTTCTTTTCTTGATTTAGAAATATCGGAGATATTTTGGAGGAACAAAAAAAAAAAAATCATTCAAAGAGTTTATTGTGAATATTGTTTCCCTTTTTGACACATGTACAATGATAATAATGATTAAGTTTATGATGACAACCTGAATTTTTTCGTCAAAAATAAAACTCATTTCGATATGATTCGAACAACAACAACAACAACAAGGAAATGATTGAATTTTTTTTTTGTTTTTTCTTTTCTTTGAAACTTCCATAATAATCATCATCATTATTGAGATACACGCGCCCAAATATCATACAAATGATTGGGTTTCGTTTTTCGTTTTTTGCTTCAAAGCTAAAAATAGTCGATAAATCTGCCATTCAAGTGATTTTGGCTGTTGGCAGACAGTGAAGAAACAAAAAAATAATAACAAATCAAGTGAAGCGAAAACCAAAAAAGAAAAAACATGATCCAAAATGATTTTGGATCAAAAAAAATGTGTTTTTGAAAATCTTCAACAACAAAAAAATAAATAATTTTCATTGGTTTTTTGGTGATGATCAACGATTGCCCTAAAGATGTTTTGCTATGTTTTCACTTGATTTGGGAAAATTTTTTTTTTCAAATTTTTCAAATTTTTAAATCCTGTTTTTCATTTTTTCCCATCAAAACATGCATGCATTTGTTGTTGTGGTTCGTTAAAATATTTCCAACAAAAAAAAAATATTGCATATTTTCAATTTCATTCATTCGATTGATTATAATATCAGGTTTCGAAATTTCGAAACCAAAAAAATGAATGGAATTAAATGAAATGAAAATATCAACAAACATTCTTTTTTTTTGTCAATGTCTGGAATGAATGAAATGAAAGAAACTTTTTTTTTATCTGAAAAGTATAAATTATCTTTTGGTTACCTGTGAACAAATGAATCTTGTTGTTGTTGCTTTTTTTCTCCTTCTTGTATGTTCAGATATGGGTTACCCCTTTTCGTTTCGGCTTTTTTTCGTTTCACATGAAAATCACGTCTTTCTATTGGAATTTCTGGCGGTATTTTTTGTTTCACTTTTTCTCTGGTCAAACAAACAGGCTGTACTGATAGAAATGGTGGTGTTGAAAACAAAGTGATCAAAACATGATGGCCTATTTGACCTATGGTTTCTTCTTTTTCTTCGAATGGAATGAAATGAAAGAATGTGAATGAACATTCCATTCCATGTTCGTTTATGGCCTTTTTGGTGGTGGTGGTGTATCATCGTCTTCGTCGCCGTCTTTACGACAAAATAAACGACTTAAATGACCCTCAAACATTAAAACACACATGGAATGTGTTAGGATTTTTTTCTTTTTAAATGAAAAAAACATTTTAAAAAAGAAAGAATTTGTTTGAATGAAATGAAATATTTTTCAATGAAAATTAAAAACGTTCACTTGACGTTTGTCGTTAAAGTTCAAGTTTTTTTGCTCAACTTCAAACTGATATAGGGGGTATATGTCACACTTGTTCACCAAAATGTTGAATAACCTAACCAAATCGATTTTGTGTTTGTGTTTTTGTTTGTGAATCTTTACGTTTTACTTACGTAAGTTTACATATCGTTTAGTTTACATATCGTAGTTTACATATCGTTTATCGTTTCGAAGCCAAAACCGAATGTAAATTTTTTTCCATCATTTCCAAAATTTACATTTTTGTTGTATACCAAATTATCACTTTACAATATATAAATTAAAAATCGATACTTTTTTTCTGTTTTGGCAACAAAAACAACAAAGCGAAACGAAAAATTGAATATTCAATTAGCCATCATCATCATCATGATCATCGATGATCATCGATGTATCGATTTTCCAATCAACGAAATCATTTTTGTTATAACATTCGACCGATGTTATTGATTTTGTTTTGTTTTGTTTGTTTTCGATATTGGCTGGCTTTTTGTTCGGGATTTTTTTTTGAAAAGCCAAAAACAAAAACCGTTGATATTCAAGTCGACCCTGCCTGATCGATTTTGTTTTGGTTTTTGTTGTTGTTGTTGTTGTGCATGTTCAAAGTTTCGAAAGAACCCAAAGAACCTGTTCTGTTTTCTTAGCCAAGGTTATAATTGTAATCAAAGGTGGTCGAGGTCAGTGAAATTTTTTTTTTTCATTTCGTTTCTTTAAATTGCTTCTTGTCGATGACGATGTATATGACACATTCAATTCAATTCGATGATGATGATGATGATCAAGATGATTGACCACTTGTTTTGTGAATCGATTATTATTATCGACTTCAATCTCAATGATGATGATGGTGGTGGTGAGGATTTCGGCAATCAATAAAAAGATATTTTTTTTATCTGCTTTCACGAAATAGACCGGTCACATGGTAATTAGATTTCCTTCATAGTGAGATTTGCAGCGAAATGAAAAAAAAATCAGATTTTCTCATTCATCATTCATTGGCGTCAGTGGTTGGGCATCAACATCTTTTCAATATCGTGACTGTTTTGTTGTTGTTGTTGCTGATTGTTTATCGTTGATCGTTGATTGTCGAGGTCAATTTCGAATTACAAATAATGTAATGGTAATAATCTGATGATAATGAAAAACAAAAAACAAAAAACAAAATCTTTTGGTTATTTTCAAGAAAAAAAATGATTATCTTTCTTACCACCTTAATCGGATGGGATCGGATTTTTCGGGTAAAGTTTCGCGGAAAACAACAACAACAACAAAAACCCACTCAATCATCGTTCGATTTTTTCCAGGAAAAATTCTTGACCATTTACAATATACATAACGGTTAGTTTGCTTTTCGGGTGTGTGTGTGTTGACAACTTAATCTTGTTTTTTCGTTTCAAAAGTTTCATCATTTTTGAAGATCAACAACAAAAAATTCAATAACATTGAAAATTTCCGAATCGAATATGTTTGAAAAAAACCGGAATCCACTATCGATTATCGATTGTCTGCGATTGTAGTCGTAACGATAGTAGTGGTAGTAGCCAGATAAGAATTTCATTATCTTCGGGTCATTATTTAATTAAGGAGTTTTTTGTTTTTTCATTTAAAGAATCGGAAATGAGAAAAAAAAACAAAATTATCATTTTTTTTCATTAAATGTCAATAATAAAAGCAAATAAAAAACAAAATGCTGATAAAAAACAACAAAAAACAGAAGAGAAGAGGAAGTGGTAAAGAGGAGGAGAGGAGGATTCATTCCCAAAACTGTTTTTTCCACCAATCAAATTGCATTATATTCAGTGTCTGTTACTATTCTTTATGCCACTACCACCAAACAACAGTGAAACATCCACCGCCAAAAATGTTTCTCTCATCATCGTCAACAACAGCCGAAATCATTTGGCTACAGACCGACAATCGATACTGAACGTTTTTTTCTGATTTTATTTTGGGTTTTTTTTTATTTTCCTTCTTTGTTTCCCAACATCTAAGTGTTTTTTTTGGGGTTTTCAACAGAAAAAAACAATTTTCAAATGTAAATTCCAGAATCAGGAAAACAAACCGAAAAGTTTTGCCAAAAAAAAAGATTCTGTAACATCTGTGTGTGTGGTTTTTTGTTTGGTTTTTTTCAAATTTCATTTGATTTTTGAAATTTTAAAGTTTCAAATTCACCACGTTTTTTTGTGTTTTTTTTCTGTGTTTTCGAGATCGATTCTTGAATTTGAACAACAACCGACAACATTTTATCGATTTTTCATCCAAAAAAATCAGCGAAAAAAAAACCGCCAGAAAACATAAAAAAAGGGTAAGTTTCTTGTCTGTCGGGAAATTTTCCCGGAAAATCTTATCGTAAAATTTATCGATTTCCATGGTCAAATGCATATTCGGGTCAAATCGAAATTCGAACGGATATTGTATTTTCAATCTGATATTTCATCCCAGTTCTCCGAATGACAAGATTGTTGTTGTTGTTGTCGTTTGTCAATATCTTCAATCAACAATCAACAACAACAAAAAGAGGCCATCATTTTTTGTTGATGATTTTGACAAAGTTATTGGCAAAGAAAAACATGGTTAAGATTTTTCCAGGTAAATTTTTTTGGCAGCACCAAAAAAATATTACCTGAGTGACGTTATTTTTAGACCAGCAGCATACACACAGAGAGACATGGTGTTTGAAAAGTCATTAAGCATTTTTGATTTTCAAAAACAAAATTAGCGATTTTTGTTGTTGTTGAAGCAAATACCTTGCATGTTTCTTGTTGTTTTTTTGATAAAATTGTTTTCCAAAAACTTTCTTTCATTAATGATCTGCAGTAATGATACAAAAAAAACGAACGAAAAAAAAAACATATTTTCCGTTCGGAAATCAGATTCTCTCCCCCCTCCTCCAGAATGAATGAATGTTTATCTGAATCATTTGTTGTTGTTGGTCGGTAATGTTCAATTGAAAAAAATTTAAATAATTCACTTTAACAAACAGAATATTCTTCCTCTAAAACATTTCGAAATAATAAAGAATTTGCATATACAGGCAGTGTATACGGGGAAAAAGTTTATTTCTTTTTTTTGGTTCCACAAAGCAAACGAACGAAATTCTTGAATTCGTTAAATTCGGGCATACAAAATGATATTAAAATGAATATTCTTTTGTTGTTGTTGTTGTTGTTTGAAAAAAAACACATTTGATGATCATTATCATTGTTGTTGATGGTGATGGTGGATAATGATGGTGATGATATCATCATCATCAACACTACGATCAACAA